CCCACCACCCTCAGCCTCCTACTACCCTCCTTCCTTCTGGGAGGCTCTGGGCTATGCTGGACTCTGGGAGGAAGAAGGGGGGTATGGGGCCAGCACATGGGCTCAAACATTTCCTGTTTCTCCCTCACTACTGACCTTGCTCCACAGTGACCCTGGGAACACAGACCCACCGTGGTCAGCTCTGCTGTGGCCAGTCCTACCATGGTCAGCCCTACCGTGGTCAGCCCTGCTGTGGTGAGCTCTGCTATGGGCAGCTCTGCTATGGTCAGCTCTACTGTGGTCAGCTCTACTGTGGTCAGCCCTGATGTGGTCAGCCCTACCGTGGTCAGTCCTGCTGTGGTCACCACTGCCGTGGTCAGCCCTGCCATGGTCAGTCTCCCGTGGTCAGCCCTGCAGTGGTCATTCCTGCTGTGGCCAGCTCTGCCATGGTCATTCTCCCATGAGCAGCCCTGCATGGTCAGCACTGCCGTGTTCAGCCTAGCTGCTTTCAGAGGCTTCACGGCCAAGCGTCTGTGCACTGCCGGCAGAGGCCTCTTTCCTTATGGGTCTGGGTGTGGGATGGATGAAGGGCGTCTCTACTGCCACCTGCCACAGAGCTGGTCCCGGGTCAGGGCGACTTCCTGGCCACACTTGCACCTGCCAGGAGCATGAGGTGGGAGAAGCGAGGGAGAGGCAAGGGAGGATCCCCCAGGGCTGCTCGGGTCTGTGCACTCTCTTCTAGGGGAAACTGGTCTCCAGGTGGAATGAGAGATTTTAGACCCCAGAAACGCTGAGACCCAGCTTGCAGCCTCTGGCTTTCTGGGAGGGTTGGCGGGGGGGGGGGGGGGGGGATCCTCCTCAGCATTGCTGCCCGTTGCCCACAGGGCTCCCCAAAGCACAGGGCAGGCCCAGTCAGCTACCCACCTACTGCCCTTGGCCTTTCCTATACCCCTTCCCCCAGCACCCTCTACATCTGAGCCCCTCCAGAGCCCCTCGGGCTACTCAGAAAGGCCGAGTTGTGTCACCTCGACCTCTGAAGTGAGTCACTTCCTTCTTTGGGACCTTGTTTGTTTCTTCTGGGTTGATGCAACCAGCACTGCTGAGAACCAGGGCAGCTCAGACTCCCCCCTGCTCGTGGGACAGGACACACCTAGCACCCCTCGCCCCCCACCCCCCCCCCCGCACACACCAGCACCCCACGGCACATGCCACAGCTGCTCCCAGGACGGTGCCCAGTCCATCTCAGGTTCAGAGCTCCCAGGCCAAGGCCAGATCACACTGGACAGCACTGTCCTCCTGTCTAAGTCCACCCGGCACCTTCCTGCCACCGATTTCTACCAGAGACTCCGCTGAGCAGCTGCTTCCCACACCCCCCAAGGCACTCTGGCTTCTTCCAGGCTCCTTGTCACCATGCCGACTGGCTCCATCACTGACTTAATCTCTTTAGGGTCTGGGGTCGCCCCCAGCCCAGCTCAGTGCTTAGGGGAAATTTGTTGCTGGTGATAGAATCAGGGTGGCCATGTGCAGGGCCAGCCCCTTCACCCGTACTGTCTCCCCAGTCCTTCTATCTTTTACAGTGGTGAGCAACAAGAAAGGTGCTTGTGCTTGAGGGGCTGGAGCAATATAGCACAGCGGATAAAGTGTTTGCCTCGCATGCAGCTGACCCGGGTTCAATTCCCAGAATCCCATATGGTCCCCTGAGCACCGCCTGGGGTAATTCCTGAGCACAGAGCCAGGAGTAACCCCTGTGCATTGCTGGGTGTGACCCAAAGATAAAAAAAAATGTGCTTGTCACACCACTAGCTAAAGGGACAGAGATGACAAGAGAATAGATGCAGGTTATCTGAGCCTTCGTGTCCCCTCCCCTGCGCCCTCACTTCCTCCCCAGCTCTGTCAGGCCCAGACTGCAGGGATGCAGCTGCTCATGCAGTGAAGCTACTTTGAATGAGGATGCATGCCATTCACCAGGGTACAGACACACACAGACACACACACACACACACGCAAGCATGCACTCTCGCATACTCTCTCACACGCATGCACTCCTTACTGCCTCACTGCTCATCTCTGCACACACACACGTGCTCACACACACATACACACACACACACACTTATACACCAGTGCTTATACACACTCCTCACTGCCTTCAGCCCAGTTTCTCACTCATCTCTACACACTCACACACATGCACACATTCACACATATGCACATTCACACACACACGCATACACATTCATGCTTATACACACACACACACACACACACATTCCTCACTGCCTCCAGCCGAGCTTCCCACTCATCTCTACACATATACACACACTTAACACATATTCATACACTCACACATTCACACACACCTCACTGCCTCCAGCTTAGCTTCTAACTCATCTCTACACACACTTATACACACACACACACACACACACACGAGCATTCCCTGTTATTGAGAGCTCTTTCCTGACAGCTTTCCCGATGAATGAAATCTTGGTGATGAAATTGCTTTTTTTCAAACCTTAACCTTTGTGCCTTTTCACAAGGTGGGGATTGCGGGTGTTTCCTGGTTTTGGCCTCTGGGATGGTGAGACTTGAGTACAGCCTTACCTTGGCCTGAGGTGGCCCCCATAGCCCTCAAGCAGAACTCTGCTAACCCTGTGCTTTCAAATGGTCCTGCGTCCGTAAGTCATCAGCCGACCTTGTTAGAGGTTCTACTACAGATGATGCTGCATTTGTAAGGCGCTCCTGTAGATCTCATAGGTCTCTCCAGGGATCATGCTTGGAAGGGTGATGATGCTCTGTTTAAGGCTCTGATACACACTGCCCAGGGCCTGGAGCTGATGCAGCTGTAGCTGGTGCAGTGACTTTCTTGTGTTCAGCAGGAAATATGTGCAGATTGGCACTGGCGGGTAGAACCACCGATTCAGACACCACAAAATACCACAGTGGTGTGGAAGGGTTTGAAAGAATTGGTGAGTTTTGAATAAAATTCTGCCGTGGAAAAAAGGTTTTCTAATGGCATCAGGCAGTACCAAGAAGCACTTTGTGAAAGAGTCTACTGGTGTAGTGCATTTCATTGTTTAGTTCCCCCCCCCCCACCCCAATGGCCAGAATCGCCTTTAGTGATTCCCTGTAGGACCAGCACCAATGCATGCCGGACCTTCTAAAGCAAAGCAAGTTTGATTCCCTGCAAGGTCAGATAATGGCTAGCCTGATTTAGCAATACGTTGATTCTTTTTATTTTTTGGTTTGGGGACCAGACTTGGTGGTGCCAGAACTTAACTCTTGGCTCTGCACTCAGGAGTCACTCCTGGTAGGGTCCCAGGGGACCATTTGAGGTGCCAGGGATCAAACCTGGGTTCGACATGTGCAAGGAAAATGTCCCGCCTGCTGACCTATGGCTTTGGGCCCCACTAAAGTATATTTAAATGAAACATGGCAGTGTTTTTTGTTTCATTTGGAGGCCACACCCAGAGGCCTTATTCTTGGCTCTGTGCTCTAGGATCACCCCTGGTGGGCTCAGGGGACCATACAGAATGCCAGAGATCAAATCCAGGTCAGCCCTGTGCAAGACAAGTGCCCTGACCCGCTGTCCATTTGCTGTGACCAGCAGGGTGGTCCTTGTTTTAAAGACCCAGTTCTGTATCCACTTGTAAGCTAGTAATGTTCAAATGCATCAAGGAGGCAAGTAAGATTACAGCACTCTCTTGTGGTCCCATGGCACCCCTACAGTGTGGCTGTATTTTAGACTTGGATGCAAAACTAGAAAAAGCTTAGCTACGAGAGGGTCGTAAGAGTTGTGAAGCGGGGCCAGAGCAACAGAACAGAGGATTCTTGCATTGCATATGGCCAACTTGGGTTTCATCCCTAATCACCCCATACAGTCCCCAAGCCCGGCCAGGAGTGATCCTGAGCGCAGAGCCAGGAGGAAGCCCTGAGCACCACTGGGTGTTGCCCTCCCCGCCCGCCCCAAAAAAGATAGAGAAACTGGGAGAAGGTATGTGTGTGTGACTCTTATGACATGAAGGTTTTCCTGATCTTTCTTAACACCAGTTTCTCAGGAAGGTTTATCGACTTGCTCTAATTCCCACCAGACACACAAAAACATTCATGATACTTGAATGAATGAATACAAGACTAAAGACATGCTTACATAGTTTATTTTTAAAGTGATTTAAAACACAGTGTAAACATACATGAAAGATAGTGTGGCGATTTAGTTTAGAAACAGCATGAGGTTATTTACATGATTGTGTATGTATGTATGTATGTGTGTGTGTATATATATATATACACAAAGTGCAGATAAATACAGAAACACTACAAAATAAACAAAAAATTCAATGATAATTTACTGACAATCGTTTTCATATTTCTTAGTCATGTTAATGGCTGCCAAGAAACCCCCTAGTACTGAAATAAAATATCTAGTCAACCTTTATATAAACTATAGTACCTCGGATTTTAGCAGTATATAAATAGGATCTGAATTCAAAGCAACATCGTATCCCTGCCATACTCTCTATATACTTGCCAAGGTGTCAGCTTGGGGCCACCGTGTGTTCTCGTGGGTTTTGGAAGGTTAGCCCAGCTGTGCCCAGCAGCGTGCCCTGGGGACAGCGACAGTCGAGGGGGGTGGCCACACCTCCGAGGTGGCTCACAGACCCAGTCTCCCCTGCAGTGGGCCCCCCTCCCCTGGGCAGTGGCTTGAGCTCAGATCAGCCTCTGGGCACCTGCCTCTACTGGGGTTGGGTGATGTCAAGTTTGAGATTCTAGGTTTAAGAAACTGCAGGAAGATTCTTTGTAGGACAAAGTCGCTTCATCACGGATCTGAGACCAGACAGTTGAGCTTTTTTTAGTCTGCATGCATATACCTGCGGTGAATGGATGCAGGAGATCCTGGCCCATGCGGCCAGCTGGGACTGGACAGTGTATGCTACTGAAGGAGATGGCTGCTAGGTTCAAAGTAAAGTGAAAAAACAAGTTTCACTCTGCAGTGGGGGAACAGGAACACACATTCCTGTCCCCGCGGTGCAGCTTGGGGTTTCAACTCCCCGAGTCAGACCTTCACAAAGCTGTCCTGTCACTGTCAAATCAGCCGCTCACCCAGGGCACAGAGTCTGCCCTAAACTGCACTTCCTCAAGTTCCAAGTGTAAATCAGGCCTCTGAGTGTGGCAGACCTTCTATCAGTGCTGTCTGGAGGGAGGAAAGCTGAGGGACTCCAGCTGAGCTGCTCTGGGGCTGGGGGCTGGCACTTTGCCCAGGTGTGACCCCAGTGAGTGCGTCCTGCTAGGGAGCCTGGATGCAGTGAAACTGACCTACAGTTCTCTTTTTACCTTTCCTAGACCTGCCAGAGGGCCACAGTTCGAGAAACCTCTTTTGAATGACAAAACAAAAAGCTTGCCAGGCCATTCACAAGGGCAAAAGGCACTTAGTTGAGAGCTTCAGACATCAGCCTGCCCAGCAGGGAAAGCCTGAGGCATCTCTCTTCTCCCAGCCTGGAGCACTGGCCAGGACACAGTTCCCTGGTGGGTCAGTGGGTCGGTGGGTAGTCTATACTCGGGAGGTATTTTATTGTGGTGCAGTGAGAGAGCTCCCCTATGGAATCCCCTCTGGCGGTCATCCTCACTTTTCCTAGAGTCACACTGACTCTGAAAAGCTAAGCTGTCACTGAGATGCGTGAGTTTTGAATGTGAGTCTCCTCTTTCAAAGACCTGTATTTGTAGTTAGTGCCCAAGACAATTGAGGGAACAGGCACTGGTATTTTTCAGTGCTCACCAGAAACAATCTTCCCTGTGTGCAGAGGGAGCCTGTGGCCAGCAAATAGCCAGGACTTGCTTGCACAAGCAGTCAAATGAACAAAAGACATCAGTCTCCCAATTCTGCACAATTTGAAGTTGAGGGTGGGAGCAGGTAGGGCACCGGCATGCAACTGATACACGTTCAATCCTGAACACTGCCAGGAGCAATCCCTGAGAGCAGAGCCAGGAGCAACCCCTGAGCATTGCCGGGTAGAGCCCTAAAAATCCACACAAGTTGAAGCAAAAGCACAAACTGAACCCCCCCCCCCTTTTTTGTAGCTTGTTTTAAGAAAGGGGCCTCGAGTACTTTCCCTAGAGCCTTCCCACAAAAAGGGCTAGATTTCACACCCCAGGCCTTTGAACCACAGAGGCTCCAATTCATCGCTGAGCGTCAGTGGAAGTAGCTCCTAGACAACTGGATGCAGGAACACTCTGGTCTGTGTTAAAAAAAAAAAACAAAAAAAGAAAAATGGAGATTTCTTTCTGCAGTAGTAAGTGAAAGTAGGATTCTGAATCCCTTTCTGGAGTCAAGTTGGTCTCTGAAAGAAAATCAATTTGCTTTAAGAGGTTCTAATCCAGCAGGATGCAGCAGGATGGCAAGAGTTCTAGTGCGGAAACTGGTACATTGGAAGACAACTTTCTGTTCCAGCACGAAGGTCAGAGGGCCGCAGGCAGGCAGACAGCAGGGGAGGGGGTTTCTGGAGAAGGAAAAACTTCCTCAGTTGGGCTTGCCCTACTTAGAGCATTTGCGTCCATCACAGGATAGGATTCTGCGATGACTCTCTTTACTTTCAAAACCTACTTATTCCAATTTTAATTTGATATACTGGGGGCAGGGGGCTCTGAATATCTAGGATGAGGGCAAAGCACAGATAGCTCCCAAGAAATGCTCAGCCATGTGACTCAGGGCCTGAGGCTGCTGAGGAGATGGGGTTGGGTGTGGGGTACCAGACCACCCAGCGGTGCCTCCAGGGCTCTCTGGCACCTGCATGTTTATGGGTGCCCTGTGCTCATGTCATCCAACTGGCTAACTCCCAGAAACATGCTTTAACTCCGTTCATGTCAGCATGGTAAGTGGAGAACGCAGACAGAACGAGAGGGTCCACAATGGGGCCCACACGGGCAGGAAACCAGCTCTGTGGAATCTGGATTTATTAAAGTAATGGTTGATGCAAAGCCCGATGGCATAGAGAAAATACATCTATTTCCATGCTCTTTAAGTTCAGTGAGATTCCTACGGGGACAGTAGACTGAATTAGGAATAGTACAAAGATCAGGTAGATTTTATGCTTCCTAAAGGCAATGAAACCATTTTAAACTTTGCTAATTGAAGTATCCTGCTTCAACTAGACTTTTTATCAGTGGCGCTTCCCTAACAGCATTTTAAAACAACATACTTAACATTTGGAAGTGGAAAATGGAAAATCCCTCATAAGCCACAATTAAATATCAGTAAAAAAAACACACACACATCACATTCCCCATGAGTAGAATTGACGCTGTGGCATCTTTCCGAGCTATTTTCCTCCAATCATATTTATGTTTCTGATGCCGCTGTAGTGCCGTGGCAGAGGTGGGCCTGGAGTCCCCACGTCCGTACATGTCACGCAACCTATACACAGTCAGCAAACCATCCCTGTCAGGCCAGCCACCTGCTTTTGGATGGTCCCAACCAAATACATTTAAATAGATGTTGAAAGCGTACAGTTCGTGCTTATTAGTCTATGGCTGCAGACCCAGGATACTTCCCAGGCCTGTAGAGAAACAGTATGTTGGCCCTGGCTTGGAACCCATGTAAGGGGTCTGGAATGCTTAGAATGGAGTCATAGGTAATTTACTGGGCTAAACTTAAGGCCATTAGACAGTCATTACTGTTTGGAATACTATTGTTTCAAAAACTTAATGTTCCTGAAATGTTTAGGACCAGCAAAAACAATCATATAAAAGCAGTATATTTTTAAGATAGAATAATAAGTGAACAATTTAAATTACATTTCTAAATAATGATTTCAAGGTTCCTCAGAGAACAGCAAGGCAATACAGGACAGATTTCTGGGTTTCTAAATTTCTGAGATATAGTTCTGAAAAACGGTATCTGAGATTTCACAACTGTTATCAAAGAGACACTGTACAGAGTTCATGGTCCTCCCGTTGTTCATCGATTTGCTCGAGCGGGCCCAGTAACGTCTCCATTGTGAGACTTGTTGTTACTGTGTTTGGCATATCGAATATGTCATGGGTAGCTTGCCAGGCTCTGCCGTGCAGGCGAGATACTCTTGGTAGCTTGCTGGGCTCTCCGAGAGGGGCAGAGGAATTGAACTCGGGTCGGCCATATTGGCTGCGTGCAAGGCAGACGCCCTACTGCTGTGCTATCGCTCCAACCCGTACAGAGTTACTTATCAAAAAAAAAGAAAAGAAAAAAGGCAAGACGGTTTTAAATAAGAAACCAGCCAAAGAGTGAAAGATTGGCAAATCAAACTTCTTTCCTTTTCCATTGACAGGAAGCTACAAAGTCTGCTGGTATAGGACTTGGTAGAGATTGCATGTTTGATTTCATGGGCTGATCCCATATCTGTGTCAGATAAAATCATAGCACTTGTTACCATGGATACCATGAAGATACTACCATCCACTAAATAGTATTAGAGGAAGACAACATAATTTTCTGGAACTAGTCCTGTTTTGCCTTCATAAGTTGCCTTTAGCCATCCTGGTTCCACCGATGGGTACACTGGCAATGTAAACAGAAAGATGTCAGTGAGCATTAGCTCTCGTAGACAGACAGACAGACAGGCGCGCGCGCGCGCACACACACGCGGGCTAATATCTATGGCAGAGCAGATCCATGCACAGGTCAGAATAGTGGCTCAGCACGGCACGGCCACGCATGGCGAGAAAGCAGGTCCCCAGGGCATGGGGAGAGTGTGCCCTCTCCTGAGCAGGGACCATGGGGCCTGGGGCATGAACTCTGGGTTTCCCGGCTGGCTCGGAGCAGGAGACAGGGCAGTGCCCGGCCGCCACTCACCGTTGGAGAAGATCGCCCCCTGCGGGAAGGAGAGCTCGTGGCTGTGCTCCGCCTTACAGGAGTACATGGCTTTGGCATGGCTGAAAAAGCAGAAAACAACTTGTTCAAACCACTGGCCTCCCCGGAGAACCGCTCTACTTAAAACGATTCTTGCCAAACGATGCTACCAAGTTCTGGAGAATGGTAGGAACCAAGCAGGGTCTCGTCCAAAAGAGTAATTTTCCTGTAAGCTTCTAGTCAGGCATAATCATTTGATCTGACTTTGGATAGAAGTGAATCACAGATGTATACACAAAAGATTTTTCCAAAAAAATGGAATGTTCCAACAGCGATCATTTCTTTCGGTAATCACTGGCTGAAAACAATAGAAAACAATTCCAGAATTATATAATCCTCACAGCAACTGAAATTGCACTTTAAAAATGCAACCGGAACATTTTAATTTTTGAAATGTGACTGTTCTTATACTGTCTTTTGTGGCTGCCTGCAGAATAAGTATTCCGCCAAGCTAAATAGGTATTTGTTGAGTGTGTCAAAATGCACAGCGCCAAATCCTTCCTATTGATCATGACTTTTCAATTATCTGTGCATGCAACCAGACAGGTATAATGTCCCTCTGCTGAGATATGTAACTACAGGTGTTATCTCCGCAGAGAGCTTGGGGTGATTTAATGTCTGGGGCGGTGAAGGCTTCTCTGCAGGTGCTAATGTTTCTTTTAGTGCCTTGGTGTAGTGAAGAGGACATGAAAAAGCTCTGTCTCCTACTGACTTTCTCTCCAGAAGGTTCTAATATCCTTTGAAGAGGCTCTTGGAAATCCTGCTTCTCACTGTGTGGGGGAGAAATTAGCATCCCCCTGCAAGGTCTCTCTCCCTTCCTCCTCTGGAAGGCATCTGAGCATAACCCCTCATCAAGCAAAAGTACAAGTGCTGTCCAATGCAAGGCGTGGTATGCAGTGCTTCATAACATACACATTTCTCTAGGTTTTTTTTTTATACTGCCTTCAGTGCTGAAGGGCGCGGGGATGTACACAGATGTAGGTTAGGAGACAATAATAGATAACAGAGAAGAGCAAAAGCAAAGAAGCACATGGTAAATACCTGAGCTCGGCAGTGACAGCTCAGGGAAGGAAACGGCAGCCATCCAGTGATGTACACAGAGCTAGAAATGCTGCTGCACGGCCCAAGACAGGTAACGGGTGTAGCATGGGATGAAAAATGTCTCCCTGGCAAGCGGCCGACAAGGACCACGGCAGTTTACAATAAACAACGCAGCATTTGCTTCCTGGCCACCAGCTACAGAGTAGTTAAAATCATTCCTATGCTCATTTTTCAGATTTTTGTCTACAAATTCTGGCCTGGGTGTCCAAGTGAATACTGGATGTTTCCATGATAAAAACTGCTTCTGTCAAAGACACTGACCGCCCTGTAACTCCCTTGAAAAATGAAGTGAAAGGGTGAGTAACGGTCTTTGCATGTTAAAAAATGCTGGAGCGATAGCACAGTGGGTAGGGCATTTGCCTTGCACGTGGCCGACCGGGGTTCGATTCCCAGGATCCCATATGGTCCCCTGAGCACCGCCAGGAGTGATTCCTGAGTGCAGAGCCAGGAGTAACCCCTGTGCAAAGCCGGGTGTGACCCAAAAAGCAAAAACAAACAAACAAAAAAATGTGCATCTGATCCGCCCGGCCAGCAGTCTGCTCAGCCTGTTTGGCACAAATGTGGGAATATTCCCAGGAACATCAGCCCCCTGACTCCTTTCCTGCATTTATCCCTGGAGTGTTTCTCCAAGTGTGGTCCAGGGACGAGGAGGGTCCCCAACACGACACAGCTCTAGTGGCTAATGGAATATAGTCAAGAGACCCTTCCTGTGATCGGCTGCGAAAGGACTGTGAAGGCAATGCAGATCCACGCTCTGGAAAATACCGGTCACGGTCCTCCCGTTATTCATCGTTTTGCTCAAGCGGGCCCAGTAACTTCTCCATTGTGAGACTTGTTACTGTGTTTGGCATATTGAATATGTCACAGGTAGCTTGCCAGGCTTTGCCATGTGGGCGAGATACTCTCGGTAGCTTGCGGGGCTCTCTGAGAGGGGCAGAGGAATCGAACCCCGCATGGCCGGGCTGGCGGCGCGCAAGGCAAATGCCCTACCGCTGTGCTATCACTCCAGCCCTGGAAAATATCATGCACAATTTCCTCATGCCCCGTAGAACACTTTCTGGCAGCGCGCCAGGACCTCTAAGTCTCTAGGGGGTTCTGAGGTCGTGGGGGTGCTCTCATGAGACCCGATGGCTTTTGCACCAAATCAGCAGTACTCGCCACATGGAGCTGGAAACAGTCGGAGCCTTTTTTTTTTTTTGTCTACTGGCGCATTTTTCCTGACCTCACTCACGGGGTCGAGCCTTAGCTTCTGTGCATACGACAGAGTGAAATACTGATTTGAAACAACCGCGGTGGAGAGAGGGAGCGAGGCTCCCTGCAGCACACCATGTCTCGATAGCCTTCCCAGTACGCCTGATGGGAACAGGGCTGAGAGCTTTTGATGGAACGTGGACACCTTCAGAGTGGACATTACCAGTCCCCAGAGTCTGCTGCAGGTCTCCACTTGGGGATTGCGGCATTTTTCTCTATTCCTGTGGTTCTCGATTTTTTAAAAAATCATACTTGCTCTCTTGGGGAGCAGGAGTGATGGCTGGGTGCACACTGCATGTAGGAGGCCCGGGTGCTACCCTGGCCTCCACGTGGCCCCTCAACCACCCTGAGCACTGAGCCAGGAGTAGCCCCCAATCAACTGAGAGGATCTGGGCATCCTTCATAGATCTGCTGGTTGGGATGAGTCTTCAGGCACCATTCCCATGCGGCCCCTTCTGTTCCGCTGTCCCAGCTTTTCAGAAGATCTAGGCCTTAGGCTGCAAACAAGGGTTTCTTCTTTTATTTATTTATTTATTCTTTTGCAGCTCCTACCACCAGGGACCACAGCGTCTCTGCCGACTCTTAAAACTGTTCTCCACAGACCAGTATTTGGTCACATTTTCTTCAGCACCAGAGACCATTCTCCCCTGTGCCGCAGAAGTGCTCCAGGCGCTCTCTCCCTCTCTCCCTCCCTCCCTCTTTGCTCCTTTTCTCTCTCCCTCCCTCCCTCATCCTCCTCTCCTACCTCCCCCTCCCTCTCTCCTCCTTCCTCCCCTTCTTTCTCTTCAAGAGGCTGGGGGCTGCCCTGGTAGGGCTCAGGAACCAGTGTGTGGTGACAGAAGCTGGTGTGCACCATCTTGCCAGCCTCAAGCTGAGTATTTTTAATCACCTCACAGCAACTCGAAGTGATCCAGAGTCCTCGAAAGCCGAAGCTCAAACCACCTGTGTGTTCACAAGCTACATTGGCATGTTTTCCCTGACAGTCTTCAAACACTTGGCACATTTCTTTGGCTTTTTTTTTTTTTGAACCTGTCTCTCACTCTCAGCAAAGTTAGTTTCTAATATTGGTCTTTTCTGTAAAATTATCCTTCAAGCATCTGTTACTGTTCTGAGTAAGTGTCTCTAGTTCCAGCCTGTGTGTCCCTTCCCTTTAGGGCACCCCCCGGGAGACCTCCCTCCCCTCACAGACCCTCAGATATGGGTACTGTCTTGCTCTCACACAAGGCCACTGTGACTCTCCCCGCTGCTCCTTCCCAAATGGCTGCTACTCCTCCCCCTACTCCCCATAATTCTCTCATTGCTCCAAGTCCAGCAGCTCCCGGGTGCCAAGTTCTGACTAGAAGCACCACAGAGGGACTGCAGGAGGTTGGTGAGGGAAATGCCTTCACTGCCTGCCTGTCGTTCATGACCATCCACACAGAACTGACCACAAACTTCAGAGTCATAACTCTGTACACTGACAACACCTTGGAAAAGAGAATCATAAAGAAGGTGAGTTTCCTCAGAATAGAATTTGTGGTTATTCAGCCAGGAAGCTGTGGACCCCAGCGCACACATCTCAGGGCAAAGTTCCCACACAGGTCACAGGTGTCTTAATGTGCCCTGAGCAGGTCTGAAGCTGACTTGGCAAAATCAGAACGCATGTAGGTTGCTCACTGGCTGCCTGAAGGAATCTCCACAACACAGATGCCTCTGACTACACTGAGGGCCCGACTGGCTGCACACAGGGCCCTGCCTCTGACTGACTCTACTCAGGGTCCAGCCACTGATTAACTGCATGCAGGGCCTGGCCTCTGTCAGACTGACAACATGCAGGGCCTGGCCTCTGACTGACTATACTCTGGGCTTGACCTCTGACTGACTGTACTCAGGGCCTAGCCTCTTGACTGACTATACTCAGGGTCCAGCCTGCCTAATTGCATGCAGGGCCTGGCCTCTACCAGACTAACTACATGCAGGGTTTGGCCTCTGACTGACTGATTGTACTCAGGGCCTGACCTCTGACTGACTACATGAAGGGCCCAGCCTCTGACTGATTGTACTCTGAGCCTGGCTTCTGACTAACGGCCCGCAGAGACTGGCCTGTGGCTGACCACACTCAGAGTTTGTGCCTTACAAGCTCAGTGAGCTCTTTGCTGACAGTTGGTGAAGGAACAGACTGTCTAGAGTTTCCTAATGAAAGGGCTCCATCTAGTGATCAACCACATGGCAAGACAGAAAAAAGTCTCAAGGTTCATTGCCATTTTCTGACGGAAAAAGACAGCTTCAGAGACCCAGTGGTCTGACATACATGAAGCCAAACCTCCCCAGAGCTTGGCAGAAGGGCAGGCTAAGACAGAGGGATACATAAGGTGCCTGTCACCTCAGTGACAGACCAAAGGCCTCAGCACTGACCGCAGGGTCCCCGGGCAACAGCACACAGAGCATTGGGGAAGCCCTGAATCTTCTAAGGGTTACTGGCTCTGGCCAGGAGACTTCTAGACTATATACAACTGCCCCTCAGTGCTCTGGACTCAGCCACACCATACATACGACCACCCGGACTTGAGATGGCCTTAGAGGACAGGTCAGGGTCCATTCTCAGGAGTCTCTTCCCACAGCACATGCGTCCTGCCTCTACTAGCTGCTGATAGTAAAGAACCGCAAATGGAAAACCGCTAAGAATGTTCATTGTGTCAGCACATACAAATTTAAAACACCCAACTGCTGCCCATTAGAGGTGACAGTTTGGGACTTGCAAAGAAAAAGCAGGGCCCTGGCTTCCTCAACTGTGAGTCACAGAGCTTTGTAAAAATGTGTTTTTAAACCTGAGTGCCCGAGAACAGATGACTGGTTAAAGAAACTTTGGTACATTTACACAATGGAGTACTATGTAGCTGTTAGAAAAGATGAAGTCATGAAATTTACATACAAGTGGTACTACATGGAAAGTATCATGTTAAGCGAAATGATTCAGAAAGAAAGGGATAGACACAGAAAGACTGCATTCACCTGGGGAACATAAAGTAACAAAATAGGAGACTAACACTCAAGAATGGCCGAGATTAATACCAGGAATTTTACTCCATGGCTTGGAGACCAACCACACATGCTAGGGGAAAAGGGAGCTCAGATAGAGAAGGGAACACCAAATAAAGGGTGTTGGGAGGATCCTCCCAGGATGGGAGAAGCATGCTGAAAGTAGACTATAGACCAAACATGATTGTCACCCATTGCCTCTTTTGCAAACCACAACACCCAATAAGAGAGAGAGAACAAAAGGGAATGCCCTGCCACAGAGGCAGGGTGGGATGGGGGGGATGGGGGGTGGGAGTTTACTTGGATCCGTGGTGGTGGGAAATGGGCACTGGTGGAGGGATGGGTATTTGATCATTGTATAATTGAAACCCAAGCACAAAAATTTCTAAGTCTACATCTGTACCTCATAATGTCTCACCAAAAAAAAAAAAATTTTTTTTAAATGTGTTTTTAAATAAATTTCTTTCTGATAATACTTGGGTGTTTGTTTTGATATACCTGTATTTTATGTACCCAGGGTCACATGAAAACTTCTCAGGCACCCAGGGGAACTGAGTGGGGCAAATTTAAGGAGCCCTGGCCCAATATGCATATTTCTTCATTTAACTTTTTGGTTTTGGTGCTTGTAGGGCTATTTTGCATGCTGATGGACCTGGGACCAGTGGTATGCAAGGCTAGCACCTCCCTCTGTGCCAGCTCTCCTGACCCCAAAGCACACTCTAAAACCCACGAGGTGACCTGACCACCTGGGTCCTTCTAACTGGAATATCGAGGGAAATTCTGCAAAGCCTGTGGGAAGGTCAAAATGCAAATTCTAGGGCTAGAGTGAGAGCACAGTGGGTAGGGTGTTTGCTTTGCATGCAGCCTTCCTGGGTTCAATCCCCTGCACCCCATAGGGTCCCTTGAGCCGTACCAGGAGTGATTCCTGAGCACTGCTAGGTGTGACTCAAAAACTAAAGCAAAAAAGGCAAAACAAAGTCCTAGTGGTCAGCACCCCTGAGCCTCCACGGACGGGGAAAACAGGTATTCAGATGCACAGCAAGCTCCTTCAACCTGGGAAAAGTCCTCTATGGACACTGTGGGAATTTTCCAGAGCTATAGGAGGCTTTGGTGTGTAGACAGAAATGACAATTCAGGGTGACAGACTCCTTGGAAGCCTCCCTTGATGCAGATGAACTGGCGGTGCTTCTTAGAGACACCACTGTCAATGCGTGCAGCCTGCGCTGAGCAGGGTTCTGGGACATGTTTACCGTGTCAGCCATGCCACATACCCCGTCCCCAGACCATGGTTATGGGGTGGAGAACTTACCGCCCAGAAGAAACTGGCTTTAGTGAACTGGCATTTTCAAACAGCTGGGCTTTTGCTGCCACTCTGAAAAAAAAATGAAACTGTGTTGAGTTTCACAGAGTCAATTAAATCACTTAGCCAGGAGTGAGATTTAGAGTTATCAAGCCAACCAAAAACATTAGGTAAGGGTCTAGAGTGATAGCACAGCCAGTAGAGTGTTTGCCTTGCACGCGGCTGACCTGAGTTCAATTCCCAGCATCCCATACAGTCCCCCAAGTACTGCCAAGTAATTCCTGAGTGCATGAGCCAGGAGTGACCCCAATGCATTGCTGGGTGTGACCCAAAAAGAAAAACAAAACAAAACCAAAACAGGTAAGAACTACCTCCCCAATGGGCCTGAGCTTTAACTGTTTCAGGTTCTGATGTGGGAAAGGTTTTGACTGTCTCCGAGGATCAGATATTCTCAATGTCCCTGGACTTCCTGTGGGTCCAGAGACACGGTCACCTCTCTTCCTCATCACTTCCGCCCCCAGCAGCAAGGTTCCTGTTGACTCGGAAGAGCCACCGGGAAAAAGGGTGGCTCATGGTGATGGTAAGGACAAAAATGAATTCGAAAACCATTCTATGCATTTAAAAATATTACAGAGCCAGAGTGCTACTACAATGGGGGGGGGGGTGCTTGCCCTGTACATGGCCAACACAAGTTCAACCCCCCCTCGCACCCCTTAGGGTTCCCCTGGGCACACCAGGAGTGAGCCCTGAGCACTACCTGCTGTGACCCCAAAACAGAACAATTTGAACATACTTCCTGCAAAGCCGAAAGAAAAGAGCTCTGAAAGTGTAGCCCGTAGATATACTTGTGGGCTCGAACCCTGTTTCTAGTCCCTAAGAAAGGCGTGGTCCCGAGCAGTGAGACTCTGAACAGGCAGAGCGGAAGGAACAGAGGCCACGCACTCAAGGTGTTCAGAAAAGCTTCTGCATTTACTTGGAGAGCACAGACTCCACACATGGGTCTCTGTGCTTTAAAACTGCCTTCTCTGACGGTGTGTGCAGAGCTGGTGTGCTGGCCAGCTCCAGGGTCCACCTGTCCTGCTGCGCCTCCTCCCTTTCCATGGCCATCATGAGCAGCCCCGAGGATGAGCTGACGTTCTCCCTTGACATATTGCCTTAAAATTTAATTTCCCTTGCGGCCCGGAACCCTAAGCATCGGGGAGCCGACAGGTTTACAGACAATTCACTCATGTTGTGGCGGCTGGAGAGACTCTGATCAGTCGCTGGCACCCCAAGGCTCCCGTCAAAGGGAAGGAGAGGTGAGTGCGTGCCAGACCCGGTCCTTCCGCAGAGACAGGCTGAGTCAAATGCCTTACTTGACTTTCACCAACTAATTAAAATGTCAGAAATGTCACCTTATTCAACATCAGCCTGGGCAGCGGGAAGATGGGAGCTTCGAGGCTGAGGAGTCCGGACTGGAATCCAGCTTTGCTGGTCTGGCTCCAGCTCTGAGCAGAGCCAGTTCCTTACCCCTGTCTCATGGCGCTTCTCTCCTGGACAGGTTTCCTCGTCCCTCCACCCCACGCCCTCCCCCCATCACGTGGAGAAGAAACCGTGCCAGCGCTTCCAGCTGTTCTCCACCCTGCCCTATCCCTGTGCTTCCCGCCCCGGCAGCCTCCATGTTTTTTTGGGGTGATTCTTTCCATCAGGGGATTGATTGCCCACCCTGACTCTCTGCACGCTTGTTTTCTGCGCTCAGTGATGCTCATGCTGGCAGAGTGGTCCTGGCCAGTGCAGGGCAGGTGCCTCGGCGGGGCACTCAGTTTCCAGGGTCCATGTACAGATCTCTTAACAGTCTTCCATGTTCCGAGTTCTTAAAATGTGCCTCATCTCCGTCCTGTCGCTGACCCTACCCATCCTGTGGGTGGAGCATTCAGCACTAGGGCGCCCCCAAGGGTCTTGGAGAGCAGGCCCATCCCCCAGGCACCCCCAAGCTCCCACTTACACGGAGCCAGGCCGCTGGTAGCCGTTGCTAGAGGCTGTGTCCAGCCTGGACCTCCTGCACGTCTTGGGCGGCAGATCTGGGTTGGCGGGGGCTTTCGGCGTCTCTTTAGAGCCGATGGAAGTCAAGCTCTGAATGGAGCCACCGTAGCTCTTGCTTCCTACGAAAAGAAAGCCCGAAAACAGGCGAGGAGTCATTAGAGAAAATAGCAGTAACACGGCACCGGCACCCAACAAAAGGAAGCATTTTTCTCTGTGCCCAAACGGGAAGGCACAGAATGTTCCCTGAGCCCAGGAGTCATCACTTGAGAAGATCGAAATCTCCAGCAATTATAGCTACATCGCCTTGCAGAGACAGAGGAGCTGGGGGTGGGATTGGAGTGGGGGGTGAAGTCACAGCTCAGGGACAAAGCAGCTGAGCATTCTCACTAACTTTCCCCTGGGACAGAGATGGTGAGACCACGATGGTGGTCCCGCCATGTTCAAACGTACCTTCAGCTGTGGAGATGGACCGGAGCGAGCACGCCGAAGCCCTTTTCAAACCCGACAGTCCGTAGGGCCCTTTCTTGAGCAGGTCTATGGGTGGGGAGACGTCCCCGGGGCTGGTGACTGACGCCACACTCTGCCCGTCCGACTCGGCGTCCGTTCTCGTGGCGTCCTCCCGAGAGCTGGACTCAGGGCTTGTAGTGGTCCAGAGGCCGAGGCTCTTCTGGCCGTTGGAAGTGGAGGGGGACGCGATCCAGGGCACAGCCCCTGCCTTCTCCCGGGGCTGCCCGCAGGCGGGCTTCGCGGTGCTGTTCTGCTCAGACGAGTGTGAGGACAGAGATTCGAGGCTGCCCATGGGCGTGCTGTCGGGGCTGCTGCTGTAGGAGTCACCTGGGGGGGGTGGGGGGCGGTATCCTTCAGTGGGAGAAGATGCCCCCAAACCTTTCTATGCTCAGGACCTCCACCCAGAGAAGCACCAGTGGGTGACCTCCACTCAGACAAGACTCAGAATTAAGGAAAGTAACATCACCTGGGCCGAGAGCTCAGCAGGAGGGAAGGGACAGGCTTCGCAGGTGTGAAGTTCCCACCCGGGGGTTCTGAGTACTGCACTGCTCCCCTCAGCCCAGGCTGCAGCCCTTGACCCTTATAGGGAGAACGGTGTCTTCTCTGGCTTGAAAAAACTCTGACCTAAGTATCTCACAACAGAAGAAATTGGCTTTCAAACTGAGCTTTAAAAAAAAAAGTTCCTAAGGGGCTGGAGCGATAGTACAGCGGGGAGGGCATTTGCCCTGCACGCGACTGACCCAGGTTTGATTCCCAGCATCCCCGAGCACTGCCAGGAGTAATTCCTGAGTGCAGAGTCAGGAGTAACCCCTGTGCATCGTCAGGTGTGACCCAAAAAGAAAAAAAAATGCTCCTAAAAGTGTAAGACACCAGAAGTGTAAAATACATGCCAATCCCTCAGTGTTTCATACATTACTGATGGTAGAGGTGAGGACCAGGAGGGGGAGTGATGTGGGAGCCAGCCGCGAGCTCCGGGCTTGTGCGATCTGGGCTGCTGCTCAGCCAGGAGCAAGCCAGGGCCACACAGGGCATCTTTTCTGTCAGACTCCAATACCCAAGGGGCCACCTCAAGGACCCAGTATGAGAGGGAGGGAGAAAAAGGCATCTGGGCTAGACTCGCTCTTGCTTTCTTTGCTGTCTCTCCAAGCTGGCACCTGTCCCTGACCACGGCTGCTGGGAAAGGGACCGGGCAAACTTCTCCCCATGGCACAGGCCTGATCTGCTGGTGGATAGGCAGGAGGCCATGCCCATAGCTCGCTCCCCCTTGTCCTCCGCAGCAGGCAGAGGCACTTACTGTCGGGTTCCGCCAGGCACGGAGTATACCGGCCCCTGGGTTTGCGGGGGCCTGTGGAGAGGCAGATGGCGCGCGTCCTTCGGGATCCGGATCGGGACTGAGGCTGGGGCAGAGGGATGTTCGGGTCCGGGGCTGAATGGAAGATCTACAAGAAAAACGGCCGGGCCCACCCCGGGGCCAGAAGTGTGAGCCGCAGCAGCCTTGGAGCCTTGAGAAAAGCTCCCCCCACAAACCAAGCCATGGGGAGCATCACCCCTCGCCCCCGCTGGTCGCACAGGACAGATGTTCAGGCTTCCTGGTAGCTGAAGATACCCAGAACCTTCTGGCCACCCCTCGGCTTATGCAACCGGGCAGGGGCTGAGGTGGGTGCTCGCCCCTGGTTTCGAGGAAGGTGCCAAGAAATGTGGCAGAACATGGCAACAGGCTCTGGGATAGTGAGAACGAGTTGCCTCTGCGTGCTGGGCACTCGGGATGGTGTGCGGGAACAGGGATGGCCAGAGATGCCACAGCAGACACTGGCGGGTCATGGATGTTTAGGGCTCAGATGCTGAAAACCTGATGGGTGGGGCTTCCACATGCTCCCTTTCCATAATTATGCAAAGACCTCCCTGTGCTAAAGAGATTCTCCTTCCTTAGGAATTGCACATGGAGAGGACTTCAAGACTCTATTCCTTAATTTTTTTAATTATTACTGATTATGAGAGATAAAAATATTGAAAGTGACTTAACTAGAAGTGACTCTAAAATATTCTCTGAGTGTAAGTACTGCATAAAATACTGGCTACATAAATGCTAAAGAAGAGAATCTGAGAAGTCAGTAACTTCAGAAGCCAAGGAAACCATCACTACTGCAGGATTCTGAAAGCTCTCACATCCGGAACCCAAGAAGTGAAAGTCAGGTGGAAGAAGGAAATCCAACAGCATGTACGACAAGAGAGGAAGCTGAGATCTAGCACAGAGTTTAGGGCTGACGCTAATGCCAGAACCCTTTCTGGGAGCTCGAGGAAGTCTCACTTCCCCGGGCACCGCCAGCTCACCTTTTCATAGTGCTCTATTAGTATTTCAACTACAATGTTCTGAAATTTAATATTCATCATGGCTGCCACGGTCTCTTCCTGCGCCCTCATCAGAGTCGGACCAAATATGACCCCGAGGTTGGAGACGGTCATGAGGTTCTGCTGGCTGTGCATGGACACTCTGCGGATGAGAGGGACGGGAAGGCCTTAAGTTAAAGGTATGATCACTAGGACACGACTTCCTTGGCCTAACAGAATATGCCACTAGAGGCATCTTTCTCCAGACAGATTGCACCACTTTCAACTCACATGAGTCTAGATTCACTGGGTATAAAACATTAACGCCGTCCCAAAGTAAAACATAGTAAAAAGGTTGATGGATCCAGTGGGAAGCAATCCCCATTACACTAAATAGAGTCCAAACCCCCTCCCCCACCCCCAACACACACACAGCTCACCACCAGCCTGGCTATGGTTTTAGGCAGAGATTTGTTCTTTTACAGCCGTTGGTCACGATCGGAGGCTGTGGGCCAGGAATATGGTCAGAGTGGGCGCTGCCCGTCTTGCCCACGTGAGTCCCTGGGGTCCATCCCTGACACCACACACAGAAGCAGCTCAACTCCATTCCTGCACTGAGACTCAGACACAGCGGCAACACTGCTCCCAGGTTCTCACTGACGTGACTGCCCCGCGCCCTCCCACGACCTCCCTTCCTCCTGTACCACAGCTTCCCAGGAGCTCGGGCATCTTGGAGAAGAGGCATCTGGGTGCACGTGGGGGGCTGGCCAGTGCATGCTGGCTTCCTTCTTTCCGCCACCAACCTGCTAACCTGAGTCTTCTCCATATGGGGCCCTACGCTCACAAACAGACACATGGGGCCCTCCTTACTCGGGGACCGACTACAGAGGTGGGGGTAGACACTGCAGGGTCAGCTGACCTGGGCAAGCCACGTGACTGAGGAGGACAGCAGAAAACTATGTTTGTGGGCAAGTGGAGCACAGGCCTCGCATGTGAGACCCGGGTTTTGCCCAACCCCACCCCAGTGCCCAACCCTGCCACTGTGCTTGCCTCAATACAGCAAATGCCTATGTATGTTTTTACTTCCCTGACACTGGACCATTCGCAAAGGGCTGATTCATGGTAAGCAGACACAGGAGAGCGAACAGTCGTGTTTCTGCCTATTCTGAGGCTGTGATCACAGTCACCGCACATGGCCCCATCCTGCGCCTTAAATAGACACAAGGAGGTTCAGAGAACAAGGGAAGGGAATTACTTGACCAGGTGCTTTATCAGGATGTCCAGCATCTCTCTGTTTTTCTCGGGCAGTTTGTGCACCAAAGCATGGACAGCTTCCACCCGGTAGTTCTGGTCATCAGATTCTGCAAGAGAAAAACCACTGCTCGGTGCTGGGTTTTCAACGCATCTGAATGTGTGTGTCAGTTGCTGGTCCAGTCTCAGCCTCCATGGCTCCTGCGCTGCTTCCTGTGCAGCAGACACAGTAGCTGGCCTGGGTCCTGCTCCACAAGGGCTAGGCACAGCTGAGCTCTCAGTGACCACAGTGAGTGACCCCAGTTGCTGTCATGCACTTTGTTACTTGCCACAGAGAGGAAGATGCTGGCCAACATGGTAGCCACCTCATGACCCCACCAGGACAAATAAGAGTGTCCCCTGAGAGCTGCAGACTAGGGTCAACAGAGTTCTTTCGCTGGGGCTCCAGGACTCCTATGCAGATCGAGGCCACGTGACCAAGAGCTAACCTGATATCATGACCCCGGGCGAGTGTGGTCTGCAAAGGCCCAGACGGTGACACCTCTGCTATGGAAGTGTTGAGCACATGCAGACCAAGTACGGGACATTCTGGGGGCAGCACACACTGACCAGTCCTTTCTCTGGAAGGGGCCTGACTCTATAGGTGCACATATCAGGAGCACCACCGTCTGCTCACAGTTATCCTGGTGTGAGGAGAGAGTCAAGAGCCTAGCTCTGCCCGGGACAAGCCGAAGGCTTCACCTGGGAGTTGGAACTCCATGTCTGTGCATATGTCATTGCAGCCAAAGTAAGCACAGGTTCCCTGGGCCCCAGAGATGAGACAGGAGAGGGAACAGGTCTCATGCAGGGAGCGGTGAGAGCCACCCCTCGGGCATGGAGAGAAGCACTGCCCAACCCTGAATTAGCATCTCCGCAGGGCACTGAGCAAATGGGATGGCTGAAGATGCTGACACATGCTCGTAGCTGAGAGTAGGATGTCAGCAATGTGGCCAGGCCTCGTCACCAGGGTGAGCCCTGTTAGCAGTTGTGGCTTGAGTTCCATTGGTTACAAGTACAATATTTCTGCTTCTGTTTAGGGGGCTGGCACCAAGGTTTCAGCACGCAAGGCCTGTGCCTGGTCCCAAACATTTCCCTTCCACGACAGCCAAAGGTCTCTGGGAAGAGCCGAAGAGTCCACAGGACTGGCTCCCGGGTCCTCGTCCTGCCGTGGACTTACTCCTGGCCTGGGACCAAGTCCAGGCTTTGTCCTCACTGCCTGGTCCGCAAAATGAGCTCAGATTCCGGATTGCCGTGAAAGTGGGTTTTGCAGAGGGTGTTGCGTGAGGAGCTAGGAGAAAGTTGGCCTATGGAACTATCTGGTCAGTGAGGTCAGCTGGACTGAACACCAAGGTGATGCTTTTCTCAGGAGACATTTTCCCAAGACATCCCCGTGTGCGGCAATAAACTCAAGGTCTTGCTCTCGGATTTTAGTCAGGCCTCATGAATCTTATTGGCGGAGGGCAACTTCTGGGGTGTCATGCCTCTCACCAATCCCCTCCCCCAAATCCCCAAATTCAGTATGCTCCTGCCCGTGACGGAGTCACTGATCTAAAAGACAGGCGCAGGGGTGGCCACAGGCACCTCCAGGAGGGGGTCAGGTCTGACATGGAGGGGGGTGTGCTTGTGTGTATTTCCCTGTGTGTGTCCCTCTGTGTGTTTGTGCGTGTCCCTGTGTGTGATTGTGTGTGTCCCTGTGTGTGTGTCCCTGCATGTGTGTATATGTGTGTCCCTGTGTGTGTGCATGTTCCTGTGTGCATGTCGCTATGTGTGTGCGTGTGCGTGTGTGTGTGCGCGCGCGTGCGCGCCATATCTCTAACTCTCAGCTCCTGACACACCTGTGGACAGCACATGGCCTACATCAGGCCGAACCCTTCCCCCAATGGGGCCCTGAGCACAGGTGGCCAGTGTGGGCTCTGGCACTTACTGACAGCCATGATGAAGTCCTTGTGCAGCCGGTAGGTCATCAGTGGCTCTGCGAGGCACCTGTGTGGACAGAGCTCCGGTCAGGGCCGGTGTCTCTGATGGCCTCGGCCTGCCTCAGGCTGGGTGGCCCCCAAAGCCCCCCAGAGGAACCCAGTACCCTCCCCAGAGGCTGAGGCCCCTGTAGCACCCAGTCACTGGGTGACCATCTGAGATCCGCGGGGCCTTCACAGTCTGGATGCTAGAGATGGGCTGGACATTCAGAGGACAGCAGACTCCAAGCTGCTGTGGGGATGCGAGCCCCACACCCAGCTCTGTGGGAACATGGACCGGGAGACTGCTTACCTGAGGTAGTTCTTCAGGCCACTGGTGATGGTCTTGTTGTCCCACAGGTCAATGTCGATATCAATGTCGGGAGGAGACTTGGGGGCTGGAAAAGAAGTCAGAAGGTGAAGCTGCAGGCCAGAGAGGGAAGGTTCGTCTGTTCATCAAGCTGCTGCCTGTTTGCCGGCATCACAGCTTGGGAGTCCATGCGTGGACCCAGCCTGGCCAGGTCTCACAGGGGCCAGGTGCTCCCCTTCCCCTCACTGTATAAATAAGGAGGCGACCCTGAGAGGCGCAATGAAGGAGCTGGGGTCACAAAGCCGTCCAGGGCCTGTCCCAAGCCCAGGCCAGGCAGCACAAAGCCAGTGCCCACAGCCCCAGCCACACCTGCACCGACCAGAGGATCCAGGCCATGCCCAGGCCCATCGAGGGACCTCTAAACCAGCTACCCCTCCGTGGGCAGTGGCCCTCAACAGCACGCATGCGAACAGGGACAGTCAGGATGGGCAGCCCGACGCCACCTCCAGATAGGCATCACTGGCTCAGGTTCTCAGCAGCAACGCAGAGACAGAACCGGGCCTGCTCACGACTTACAGAACGTCGTGTTCATGAGCTTCTGCACCTTGGAGTTGACACCGCCGATCCGATAGAGGCCCAGGATGGTGATGCCTGGCGGGAAGGGAGGACAGGGCAGAGCTGAGGCATGGGGACAGGTGCCCGGCCTCAAGCAGACACGGAGGCTGGTAGGAGGCCCCTGCCCTGTCCCCGAGGTGAGGATCTGTGTAGAGGGGTCTCAGGGCATGGATGTTCGAGCATGATGCCCCAGTCCAGACTTGAGGCCAAGACCTGGCCAGGGGGTGGTGCAACCCCAGGAAACACATCGCAGAAGGGAAGGGGTCTGATGGGGGTATCAGGCTGTGTCCCAAACCCAAGAGGGCTCCTGTTCTCGACAGGTACAAGGGCCTGAAGGGCACCCAGGGATGCTGGGAGAGGCCGGGATGAGGGGCAGCCATGACAGGAGGGAACCTTTGCGAAAAGGGCCAAGTCCCCCAGGGACACATCCAGCAAGGCTGAGCGCCATGGACAGAACCAGCAAGGAGGAGACGGTGTGGATGCAGGGCATTCCTGTACCTTCCAGCTCCGGTGCTCCAGGACTCCCCGGGCTCCGTCTCTAGGTTTTCTGGGCAGTTCCCAGGCAAAATTGCACGGCCACACTCACCTCTCGTCTCCACGGCCTGGATGCATTTCCGCACGAAGTTGAAACCTGCCTCGTTGAGGTACACTGTGAAGAAGAGGGACAGTTTGTGGGCAACTCTGGCGGTGCTGGACAGTACCTGAACTACACCCTGCAGCTCAGGAGTCACAAGGAGCCGACGACCAAATCTGGGGCTCCTGCAAGCCAGGACCTGTGCTCCACCCCTGAGCTTCCCCTCCAATCTCGCCTCTGCTCTGCCCTCCTCTCCCCTCACCTCTTTCTTTCCTTCCTTCCTTCCTTCCTTCCTTCCTTCCTTCCTTCCTTCCTTCCTTCCCCCTTTCCTTCTGTTTGGGGGACCCACACCTGGCCATGTTCAGGGCCTACTTGTCGTGGGGGACCATATGCGATACTGGGGTCCAGCATATCCAGGGCAAGTGCCTAACTCTTGTACTTTCCTCCTGTTCTAAGTTTCTTAAGATTTAGGTCCTGAGATAAAATGGGATTACTGTTTGAAGAGAGAGCACTTAATTAGAAACTATAAACTAAAAGGCCAACATGTTATGAAATCATAATGGATATTTCATCACAAATAGCGAAGAAATGGTTAGTCTTCCACAGCATTTCCAGGTGACACAGTGCAAGACTAGGAAAGACGATGACGATGGCAAAGATGGTCCAAACCCCTGAACTGTAACTGGGGCTGAGGTGGGGCACATGCCCAGTGCCCCTGGCATGGTGGGATTTAGCCCCATAACAGGAGGGAATTTCAGCCGGTCATCATTTACAGATGGTTGGTGAAACAGCTGTGCACTCAGCAAGATACAGGTATCCTATTTTACTGCATGATTGTTGCCACCACAGCATATACCATTGAAAACAAGTCTCAAGACCCAATAACGGAAAGCTGGGAACTCCCTGGGAGCGATACAAAATGTGGGATGTTGCTAAGCAGCAGAATAGATGCAGTGGGTGTTGCTAAGCAGCAGACTGGATGCAGCAGGTGTTGCTAAGCAGCATAGACAGGATGCAGTGGGTATTAAGCAGCAGAGACTGGATGCAGGGGGTGTTGTTAAGCAGCAGACTGGATGCAGCAGGTGTTGTTAAGTAGCAGTCTGGGTGAAGTGGGTGTTGCTAAGCAGCAGACTGGATGCAGCAGGTGTTGCTAAGCAGCAGAGACAGGATGCAGTGGGTATTAAGCAGCAGAGACTAGATGTAGCGGGCGTTGCTAAGCAGAGACTGAATGCAGCGGGTGTTGCTAAGCAGCATACAGGGTGAAGTGGGTGTTGTCAAGTCCTGCCACCACAGCAATCTCGGCTGTCGCTGTGCAGCAGAGCCCCTTGGTGAGGCGGGCGTTGCCCAGCCAGGTCCCAGCAGCAGAGCCAGCCCCTGAGGGTCATCCTTGGTGGAGCAAAGATGGGAAGAGCCTCAGCCTCCTCAGAAACAGGCAGTGGCACAGGGCCTAGGGTGACTGGCCTCTCCAGTCGCCAGCATTGGCCAGCCTACAGGAGCCCTGCGGTCAACTCCTCCCCAGGCTTGTCTCTGGACCAGAGTGGACAGGGCAGACACCGAGAAGCCTTGAACATGGACACCAGCAGAAGACATTGAGAGGACTCCATCCAGTCATTCGGAGCTGGGTGAGAGCCAGGGCAGTGGGTGTGCCAGGTTCCCTCCCTGCCACATGTTAGGGTCCCGTGAGCCCATGAGGGGTGGTCCCAGGGTGCAGAGCCTGGAGGAAGCCTCAAAACCGCAGGGTATGTCCCAACACCACCCCTTCCACTAGCAAAAAACAAATATGGTGTGGCTCTCCACCCACAGGCCCCTCCTTGGAATGCTGCTTGGGGCTGATGCTGGACCAAACCCAACCAAGTCCAGGCCTCTAAGCACCAGGCTCCTAATCCCAGCAGAATCCCAGAAGGAAGCGGGGAGAGCAGTTTCCTCACAGCGAACAGAGCAAAAGTCCACATGCATTTGATTTCCGTGTCACTGAAGCCCAGCCTGTCCTTCTAGACACATGGATGGCCCAAGGACACAGTCTCCAGCTGGGCGGCCCACACTGCTTACCATCAGCCCCGTCCCCACCACAAATGCCTGATGCCACACAGCAAGGGGCCCAGGAGACAGGCCCGACGCAGAGCATGCTGGGAACCAGGCGTGTTGGCTCCTCCCCAGAGAGAGACTTGGCCTCGGCTGGCCTCTGAGAGCCTGAACAGGAGGAGGTGCAGGGGCAGAGGACATGTGAAGGCCCCGGGAACTCACAGGACTGCACTGGCTATGGCAGTCTGAAGTTCAAAGGCATCTGCCTCAGAGGAGGACAAAGAGCTTCCTACAGGGGGGAGTAGGGCCCTCAGCATCCACAGGGGACGTCCCCGCAGGATGGTCCTGATGCCAGGCAGCCACCCGGTGGCCCAGGGCTTGCCTTTTGCAAAAAAGAAACCCGGAAGGCCGAGGGAAGTTGGTCCCACCAGGGAATGGATGCCTCTTTCCCCATACATGCCCTTCCCCCTTCCCGAGCAGGAGGAAAGCATCTTCATGACCCGTGTTGGGGTTGGGAAAAGGTGTGGCACCCCCTAGAGCGCTGGAGGAGGAGGACCCAGGGCAGTGCCACTGGCTGAAGCTCCAGTGGCTGAAAGATCTCCAAACAGGAAGGAGATGTGGATTGGCAAAGGGGGAAGGGGCTGAGAGACAGCTCAGTGGGCGGCAAGAGGCCCAGCCTGTGCCCTCAGCAGCTTGTTGCTCAGGGCCTGTGCTCACAGCTTACCAGACCTGGAGCACCACATGCAAGCCCCCCACCAGCCAGGACCCCACCAAGGAAAGTGTTTCTCTGAAGGCTAAGGTGGACCTGGAATCTTGAGTAATGGCCATGACTGAGGAAACAGCGTTGTTCTTAACGGCCACGTGTGAGGCCTTCGGATCCATCCCTGGCACCGGAAGGAGAAAAGAAGGTTCTGAAGACGGGGGCTGGAGCTGTAGCACAGAGGGTAGGGTGTTTGCCTTGCACGTGGCCGACCCGGGTTCGATCCCCAACATCCTATATGGTGACCCGAGCACTGCCAGGAGTAATTCCTGAGTGTAGAGTGAGGAGGTGAGCATTGCCAGGTAAGATTCGGGTGAGTGCACCTGAATCTCACCAAAAAAAAAAAAAAAAAAAGGATGAAGAGCAGAAGGCCAGTGGCTCTGTGGTCGGCTTTAGTGGAATGCCACAAACTTCCCTCTGCATATTCAGCGTCCGTAGGGGATGCAGAGGTGACAGAGTCATGAAACCCTCACAGCTGTGTTACCCCAGGTCCCTTTACCTGTCTCAGAGTCCTCACTGACCCCCACAGGCCCACCTTGGCCCCAGGCTTGGTGCCGGGGCCCGCAGTGGCATCTCCCTGGATGCAGGGTGGACTCAGAAACCCTTTATGGAGGGAGCCAGGGCTCCTGCTGGCCAGTAATGACCAGTGGACACTGAGCTCCAGCAGCCTCCGTGAACGAAAGCCAGTCACTTTCTCCATGTGGGACATGCGCATTCCCCATGGGCCCTGTAGCTGCACACATGTCCTCACCTGCGTTCACTCATCTCCTATGCAGACAGACTGTACTGTCACCCTGAGCCCACCCGGCAGAAGACCAGGTTCCTGACCGCTCCCCGGACCCAGTGCTACCTTCCCGGCTTCCCAATAAGCCTGAGGGACTGGAGTGACTGTCCAGCAAAAAGGGCCCTGACCTTGCACCCAGCCAGCCTGGGTTCAATCCCCGGAACCCCGTGTGGTCCCTCGAGCCCAGCCAGGAGTGACCCCTGAGCACAGAGCCAGGAGTAAGCCCTGAGCACAGCTGGGTGAGGCCTCAATTTTTATTTTATTTTTTTAATAATAAAAGTTTTCAGTGTTTGGGGCTGGAGCAATAGCACAGCGGGTAAGGCATTTGCCTTGCATATGGCGACCCGGGTTCAATTTCCATCATCCCATATGGTCCCTCAAGCACTGCCAGGAGTAATTCCTGAGTGAATGGGCCAGGAGTAACTCCTGTGCATTTCAGGGCATGACCCAAAAAGCCAAAAAAAAAAAAAAAGATTTTCAGTGTCACAAGAGAAAGTTAACTGAGTTCACTGAAATGTGGAAATTAATCTTGCAGACACAAAACCTTAGAAATATGCATGGTCACTTGAAATAATTCATAGTAAATTAAATATTTTAAAATAACAGACTTCAGTGCCCCGATCTATCCCAGGAGAAAGGCGAGTGCCCTCAGGTGGGGCAGAGAAGTCCTTGGGGAGGAGGCTGATGCCCGGGAGCCTGTCCTCTCTCCTCCTCATGCTTTTACACTTCCCGTGACTATCACAATCTTACACGTTCATGTCTCCAGTTTTGTAAAAGACAGCAGGGAAAGTAAGATAAACCCTCCACCACCATGAAAACAAAACAGCAACAACAAAACACTAGGCATAAGCTGCCCCAAATCATTACAGAAGAAAACCAAGCAGATGTGCAAGGGAAACAGTAAAGAAATAAAGAAGTAAGTTCTGGAGACCATGAGGCTATAACAAACAGCTCATGGCTGGGACTTCCAGAAAGTTCTCTGGAAGCTTCCAGTCTGCTGCAGCCTCAGCTCAGTGGCACGTGGCCACAATTTCCGCAGATGTACTCGCCATCACTCAGGGTCTTTTAATACAAGGGGTGCTCAGAAAGCTGAAGGAACGAGGGAAAGGAACTTACTTTCTTCCTTCTTGCTGATTATGGCAGGTAGCGTGTAAATCTGGAAAAGGAAACAGAGGGCAAGAGTTGGTTCCCCAGAGGCCGCAGGCAGCGGTCAGGACGTCCGGGAGAGGGGGACATGGCTATAGCCCCCTTGCCCGCCGACCCCCTTCTCCACTCCCCCCGTCCAGTCTTTTCACCCTTGCCCTGAACAGACTCACTGCCCAGCGGCTCACCCTGCCCCACCCTCCAGCACACCCTCCCGGATGTGGGGGGAGGCATTCCCTAAGGTTCCCCCAGGACAGATGGGCACCCAACCCTCACCCTGCCCCAGACTGCTGGCCTGGGACTTCACTGCCCCCAGGAGCCTCTAACCATGGGTGAGCCCCCAGTCTCTGAGGGGCCCGGATGGATTGTGTGTCCTCTGTCGCTAACTGGCATTTATTTTCAAAACAAAATCTAGCAGAAATGCAAGTGACAAGCAGAGAGCAGATGGAGCATCCAGACATGTCCTTAGCCCCAGCCCAGAAGGCTTCTATGGAGGACGCCACTGGGCAGTGCCCACGCCCGCCACGTGGAAGCCCCTGCCCGCTCCCCACTCCTCCTAGGACACAGGGCCCCTCAGGGAGCTGAAGGGGGTGCTCATGGTGCCCCCTGGCTGAGCTACAACCTGACGCTGCTAAGGGGGCGTCAGGCCAGCAGCGGAAGGTCAGGAGGAAGCCGGGCAACACCAGGGCAGCAGCAGCGACTCTGTCGGATATGCATCTCACCTGCAACCCCGAGGGGCCTTCTTGGAGCTGTGCCGAGAGCAGGGCTTGGCAAGCTCAGGTCTGGGGCCGAGCCGCAGCACAGCAGGGAGGGCACTGACCTCGCAACGCAGCCCACCTGGGTTCAATCCCTGGCACCCCAGATAGTCCCCCAAGCCCACCAGGAGGGATCCCTGAGTGCAGTCAGGAAGGGGCTCTGAGCAGTTGGGTGTGCCCTCCTCTGCCCCTCCCACGCAAAAAAAAGGAGGAGGAGGAAGAGGGAGGAAGAGGGAGGAGGGGGGGAGGAAGAGGGGGGAGAGGGGGGAGGGGGGAGGAGGGAAGAGGGCGGGGGGGGGGAGGGGGGAGGGGAGAGAAGAGAGGAGGGAGGAGGGAGGAGGGAAGAGGGAGGAGGGAGGAGGGAGGAGGAGGAGCCAAGTATTTAGGAGTCCGTGGGACGGATTCTCAGTCCCGGAAGCTCCTCCTGAGAAGCTGGGAAGAGCCCCCTACCCCCAGACTCTGGATCCCTGTTTCAGCATCTCTGGCCACCACAGGTGGTTCAGTGCCATTCCCAGAGGGCCGGTAGCTATCAGGATGACGCCTATGGGCTGGGCTGCCTCCTTACCGGCTCCTTCCCGTCCATGGCTTCCAGCCAAAGCTTGCGATTCGCCTCCGAGAAAGCCTGCAGGGTGATGATGCCATGCCTAAGGGACAGAGGACAGGTCAGCAGGGCCAGCTCTGGGGCAGGGGACAGGTCGGCAGGGTGGACCATGAAGGCCAGTGAGTTTCAAATCCTTCGCTAGCAAAGTGACATAAGTGGGGCTGGGGAAGCGGGGAGGGGGCAGCAAAGGGGACAGGAAAGAAAGAATGTAGAAAATGAAAAGAAGAAGATAAATCACTGTAGGGTCATAGGTCACTGTCCTCCCGTTGTTCATCGATTTGCTCGAGCGGGCCCAGTAACATTGTGAGACTTGTTACTGTGTTTGGCATATTGAATACGTCACGGGTAGCTTGCAAGGCTTTGCCGTGCAGGCGAGATACTCTCGGTAGCTTGCTAGGCTCTCCGAGAGGGGCGGAGGAATCGAACTCGGGTCGGCCATGTTGGCTGCGTGCAAGGCAAACGCCCCACCTGCTGGAGCTACGCTGTGCTATTGCTCCAGCCCACGGGTCACAGGTAAAATGTTCAATGATGGCATGCAGTATATTTTTTTCAGTGTTTGGTATACAGGACTGAGGAGACTGATTTCAATTTTTTTTTCCCTCAGTGGGCCCAAAAGGAAGACCCAGCACCCACATTCAGTGCTCCGTGGTATGAGAAGATTCTAACCCTCCTGTGGTGACTGTAATCACGATAATGACCTTGCAGCTATAGGGAAAACGCCACAGCATTATAGCTCATTATCAAGAAAACATTAAAACAAAGGCATTTATCACAATATTCAAGTCAGTGCATTTAAAAACAATTCACTCTCGTAATGTGGAAATAATCTGCCCCACAGGTAGGGGGAGGATGTGGGATGGGGGTACACTGGGGTTTTTGGTGGTAGAGAATGAGCACTGGTGAAGGTACGGGTGTTTCATTGTATGACCGAGACTTAAACCCAAAAGCTTTGTAACTGCTCTCACAGTGATTCAATAAATAAAATTATAAAAAATGAAAAAAAAAGTAAGGTGGAGTTCATGCCCAATTCAATCAGCTAACCAGTGGCTGAATAAATAGCAGTACTCCTACATTTAAAAAAAAAATTCACTCTCAAGAAACCCTTCTGAGTTAGTTTATTTTTTCTTTGAGAAAAAAACAGCAGAGGGAGGGTGGGACCAAGGAGAACAAAGAAAAACAATGGAAGGAGCAACAGTGAAATCTGCTCATGCCTTAGACGAGCGGGAAATAATTTGAACAGGAAATCAGAGGGCTTTGTGAAGAAGCATCCCATGAAGGAAATGCCATTTAAATGTCTCATCATGAAAACTGGAATGACTTAAAACAGTGATAAAGGCATAAATATATCTTTTGTTAACAGGAAAACAGACCACTCAAATGGCAGGAAAAGGACAAATGTGGAAAAGATGCAGCGACTTGTTAACGGAGAATGCAAATCAACGGAACAGATCAATCATAAAATTACAGACCATGTCTCTGTAGCTGCGTCACTAACACCTTCCACGGTGACTATTTATTTATTCCTTGGACAACCCTGCTGGGTTGGCCCCACACGTCTTATGTTAAAAGGAAGAGGAGTAGAGGAGGATTTTAGCCATGAGCCCCAAAGCTCCAGAACCAGGCAGCTCTGAAATCAGGAGCAAGCAGACTCGGCTGGCAGATGTCTACGTAGAAAACCTGACAGCAAAACCATCAGAGCCTCCAAATTTCAAGGTTGTGACATCCGAGTGACAGATAGAACAAACCAATAGCCTTTCTGTACAGCAGCCTCAACTACTGGGAGTGGAACGCTCTTCACAGCCTGGATCAAAAGGTGCCCCAGAGCCAATCTGAATAAAAAGATGTATGAAATCCTCAAAGACAGGCAAGCTTTCCAGACATTAATAACGTAAACGTGATTCCAGTGAAAACTCCCAGAAGGCTGGTGGACGGGAACTCCGGGCAGGCAAGAGTTCAAGGGTTATCCCCAGTGCCACACAGCCTGAGCACTTAGCTGGGAGCAGCACTGTGACCCAAACTCAAACAAAACAAAGTCCTGAGGGGTGTTCCTGCAGGGGAAGGCAGCTCTGAGAGACTCTGAAACACTCAAAGAATGCAAGGCCAAACAGCCAACAAGCAAAGAGGAATCACATTCGTGGCTTCTACCACAGCTACCTGTGTGTGCATCACACTTGATTTACTCCTGATGTGTATAAATGTGTCACAGTGACAGAGCAAAGAATACTCTCACATACCGCTACAGTATTCACACACATCCCTAGAGTACTCTTACGCACTGTGAGAGTACCCTCATATACAGCAGAAAATACTTACACACTCTGCTAAGTACTCATACACTACTAGAGTATTCACAGCCCATTAGAGTGCTCATACTACTAGAGTACTGCTAGAATACTCACACACCCCGCTAGAGTACTCACACGCACTGCTAGAGTATTCATAGATACCATTGAAATATTCAAGCATACTGCTAGAGTATTCAAACCACTAGAGCACTCACACATTGCCACCACCCAAGTACTCACATACTGCTACAGTACTCACACACTACTAGAATATTCACACACACCTGCTAGAGTACTGACACTGTTAAGAGTACTCACACTCCCTGCAAGAATCCTCCCACATACCGCTAGAGTACTCACACCCACTGCAAAAGCAAAAGTACTCACACCCCACTGAGTACAAACACACTCTGCTAGAGTACTCACACACACTGCAAAAGTACTTATAATCCACTAGTGCTAGAGTACTCAAATATTGCTAGAGCGCTCTCTAGCACAATCACTAGAGTACTCAGACTGCTGGAGTACTCACTCACACCTCTCGAGTCCTCAGACAAGAAGGAGAGGAATGGAGAGAGGAGTGGATGAGTGCAGGACAGAGACCCTGAATCAATATTGTTCCTGACACAGGTAGACAGAAAGGCATCCTCAAGTGAGAGACTCGGACAGGCCCTGATGCTTCTCCCACGTGCTGTGCTAGGCTGTGGGCCCTGTGAGTCTGCAGCTGTGTCTGGCCGGTGGCTCTGGAGCAGCCACTAGGCTTTAGTACCCATCTCCAGGCAGTCTGGGAAGGCGCCAGGCATGCACTTCCCTGGCCAAGGCCACGTCTACTTCCCCAGGTTTCTGCAGTGAAATCTGGGCTTCTAACGAACAGTATCTGTGGTCTCTTCTGAAAGCATCAGGCAATGAGCATTTGTTGAATAACGCTGGAGAGAATGAAGCATGCACCACAGCTCCAAGGAGGCCAAGAAACACCTGCAGGCAGCTGCTTTATCTCTGAGAACACAAACAACTTCTCCAACAAAATAACTTGGGGGAAAAGAAAAGCTCCAAACCTTTCAACCACTTCGATGTCGAAGCAGAATCGTTTGTCAATTGAATCTGTCTTTCGTCTGATACAAGATTTTAATTTAAACATTTCAGGCGAGCCAGTGACAAGTCCATTCTGAAACAAGAAGGGGACATTAGGGACAAGGTGAGCAGAAGCATGTTCAAGGCACAGCTCAAAGGAGCAGGCTTCCACCTGGGGCCTTTCCACTCACTGATGTTAACCACCCCATCAATCACAACATCCCAGCCGCTCGTCATCATACACACACTGGGTGCCAAAGACCCCATAACGGGACTGCCCAGGACTGTTCACTGCTGAGTGCCTTCACCCAGACTGTGTAGCCCTTGGCTTTCCCGATGCACAAAAGACTTGGAGCCTCACAGAATGGCTGCAAAGATGCAGCACATGCTTGGACCCCAGCAGTCTGCACCCCGTGAGATGGGCACCAAGCGAGGCGGCTTCCCAGGCCTGTCGATTTACAGAGCAGCCTGCTCAGAGCTTCGAAATGAGGCTGCCCTGGGGGCTCGGCCTGGTGGAGGAGCTCGTTTGTGGGCAGTGTCCAGCTTTCACATGGCCGAGTGCTTGTCCCCACTGACCCTCATGCCGTCCCTTCTTGTCACCCGTGTGCCTGCTACTAGAACTCTCCTCACACGGGCTCACTCTGTCGTCTCCTCCCCATGTCAGTCCCGAGCACGCAGACGTCCTCTCAGGGTGCACACCGGAGCTTTGCCATCAAACTCCGGCTTCTGCAAGCAGCTTCCAACTCTCTTCTAAGCTGATGGGGCTGTAGGTTGACTCATGACACCCCAAATTCCCAGGACACACATACGCACAGCTTCCTTCCTCTGCCTCGCGCCCCTGGATTTTGAATTTCCAAGTATGAATGAGCAGACTCACCCCGTGGACACGCACCTGCATCTCAGCTGACCCATTGCGGTATGGACCAAGGTGGGGTCACCCCTGACGGCTGCCCCCATGTCAGCCGCCATGCCAGGAGGTGGGTCCCCTTCCTGCCACCCTTATTTCCCAGTGGGCTGAGCTGGGAGGGGACGAGGTGCTGTCCATACTCAGAGCAAGGCCCGAGGCGCCTTGTCCCCAGGGCCAATCTAAGACCCATCTCTGTCTCTGGGCAGCGCTAGCCTGCACATATCCCCAGAGGTACCCAGACCACACGGCTGCCTCAGTGGCCATTGGCCACCCCACCTGAGCATCGTCTGTGCTTGGTGTGAGCGAGCGCTGGCCGGTTTCTCCTGCAAGAGCTCAGCTGTCCAGCACCTCGCCCAGCAGGACAGGATGGGGATGCAGGGGCCAGTGGCTCCTGGGACCAGGCAGGGACCCTGAGGGCCGTGAGTCTGGCCAGAAAAGGCAGCCAGAGCCTCTCAGCGGCCAGTGAAGAAGTGGGGTCACTCCAGGATGGTCTGTCAATGGTCTCCTCAACTCCAAGTGGAAATCCCAGCCACTCTGACAGCAGGCTCAGGGCCTGCATCTGGTGGTGTGAGGGCTGGGCTTGGGGCGCCCTCCCCCCAACTCAGCACCACCCCTCTGACTCCTCACAGCTCTGCCCCACTCACCATCTTTCCGCTGGACTTCACCTCCGAGACGCTCATGGTGAAGGTTTTGCTGCTCTTGTCGTAGGTGCAGTAGTGCTTGATCCAAGTGAAGCCCAGCGGCCCTGCAGGACGGGGCGGGGGCCGGTCAGGGTGCGAATCCGGACTCCGTGCGAAGAGCACCCCGATCTGTGGGGGACCCACAACGAGCAGCCGGGCGTGGCTGCCGAGTGCTGAGGCCTGGGGACAGAGCTGGAGCTGCTCCTGGGAAGGCAGGTCTGTAGGCTCGCAGAAGCGAGTATGAGTTGCTGCCAGGCCTCTCCTGACTCCATTGTCTATGCACAAACCTGCCTAAGGCCCTGCTGAAACAGAGCCACATGGCTCACCCCCACCCCGTGGCTCACCCTTGCACAGCCCCTGCAGAAAACTCCCCAGTGTCCCCTCCTCTGCTCTCACTGTGGCTACCCCAGGCCCTTTGCACAGCCTGATGCCATCCCTACCCTGACAACCCCTGCACTCAGCTCCCTTCTCCTTCTCTATGCCTCACACTCAGACACCACAGTCCTGCTCCCAACCTGGGGCAGCACCAGGCATCAACGAGCCCTGGACGGCGCGGACACTGGACTCACGTTTCTCCTGCACGTACAGGTAACCCTCCATGCTCCACTGGCCAGGGGCGCGGTAGTCCTGGTTGGCCGACTTCATCCTCTGCATCAGTCGCTCCACCTCCTGGCGTGTGCTCTCGAAGTTATTCCGCGTCTTAAGGACAGAGAAGCAACAGTCTCACCCACTGCGGCTGCCCGGGTCCTCGGGAAAACGCTCCCTCAGCAGGTGGCGGAGGAAGCCCCGGGGGCTAGAAATTATGATACGTTTTTTACAAAAGATGGAAATAAATCATAAAGGCAAGTTGCCTTTAATATTTCTACTTAATATCTACTGAAAAGGCCCAAACACGGTCCTTATTGAAAAACAACGGGATGAACTGCATGTGAAATCAATTCCACTCAAAACAAAACCAAAAAACACCCTTTGATTAAATTTTAAAAAGCTGCAACTCCAACACACGTGGAGTAAATCCAGTTACCCACAGCTCAAGGGACAATTTCCACACCAGAGTTCTATTTGCCAAACAGCTCAGCAATCGCAAAAGCGGAGAAGCACTAGACACGAGCTTTCCATGAAGAACGAGGCAAAAGTTTCCCCTCGGCATTTAGGTCACAGGATCCGACAGAACTCTCATCTCCAGCAAATCCCCAGCAACAGGACGCGCCACTGGTAGGACAGTGACGGGGTGAGGTGTTCGGTTCCCGAGTGTGCAAGGAGCATGGCCACTGGAAACAGGATCCGTGTGGCCAGTGCCGAGAGCAGAAGGCTCCACCGGTAGGTTCACCCACGGAATCAGGCAAAAATAGGAGGAGTGCCGAGAGCAGTGCAGGGAAGCCTGAAAAATTATCTTGAAACTTCACAAGAATGTGCAGTTTTAGACTGGTGTGTGTGTGTGTGTGTATGTGTGTGTATATGTGTGTGGGTATGGGTGTATACGGGGGTGGTGGAGCAGTATGGGTGTGTGGGTGTGGATGTAGGTATGTGTGGATATGTGTGTGGATGTGTGTGTGGATGTGTGTATTTGTGTCTCTGTGTGTATGTGTGTGTGAATGCGAATGTGTGCGTGAGGGTGTGTGCGTGAGTGTGTATGTGTAGAGTATGCGTGTGCATTTGTGTCTGAGTGTATGTGTGTGAGGGTATGTGTGAGTGTGTGCATGTGAGTGCATGTGTGTGTGAGTATGTGAGTCTGAATATGAGGTGTGTGGCTGTGTATGTGTGTGTTTATTGAGTGTGTGTATGTTAATGTGTGTGAGCGTGTATGTATTTGTGTGTGTGCATGTGAGTGTGTAATGTGTGTGAGCATGTGTGTCTATGTGTGTGTGAGCCTGTGTTGTGTTCATGTGTGTGTGTACATGTGAGCTTGTTTATGTGTGTGTGTATGAGTGTGAGTGTGTGTGAGAGTGTGTGTTGAGAGGCTCCTTCACTCCACACAGCTGCTGCCGCTCCATGGCCAGAGGGTGTGTGGGGAAGGGCTGTATCTTCACAATCCACGCCAGAACCTGGCCGCTCCTGTACGGGACCCAGCGGGGGTGACTCTGCTGACGTGGGATGGGTCCTTCCCGGGCACCCCCAACCAGCAGTGAGGAAAAAAGAAGAAACTCTCCCTGCTTCCCCAAGCGCCTCAACCCCCGCGCCCAAGACTGCGCCACTCGCGTGGCCCGGCGTAGTTCCTGGGGGCCCGGCTGAGGCGCAGGAGACTCACGTTCTGGAGGTTGAACTGCAGCTGTTGCTTGTAGGGGGCGAATTCCTGGGCGAGCTCGTAGCCTTCATGGTAGAACGTGAACAAGCCCTGGAGGAAGGACAAGAGCTGGAAAAATAAAAGCCCGTGAAGGTGTGTTCTTAAGGGAACGGTGGCCAACCAGAGCCAATGGGGGACCCATTATCCCCTCCTCCCGCTGGCGATGCACCTCTAGCCTCCTGGCCTGGCACCGCTGGCCCTAGAATCGGGAGGCGAACATGGAGAGTGACTCTGGGTCCAGTGTGGGCAACAGAGACTGGACGCAGGAGTCTGGTCATCCGGGCGTGTGCTAAGGACACTGATAATCTAATGCAATGAAGGAAGCCCCCAGGTGGAGCATTGGGGGGTGTGTGTGTCTGTGTGTGTGTGTGTGTGAGAGAGTGACACTTGTCCTGCCTTTGCAGAATCCCTAATGCAGCCAGGGCCTATGCGGGGAGACTGAACAGGCTGGGAAGCGTGGGGAGCAAGGAGGCAGGTAGAGGCACGAGCCACCACTGGACGGCAGCAGAGCCCGGGCACAGACTCAGAACTGCAGATCCCAGCCAGAACCAGGAGCCAAACGTTGGTGAATGCTAGAGAGACCTTTGGGAAACCACCGTTTATTTGCTACAAGCCTTCCAACCCCAATCCGCGTGTACTTCTTTACCACTCTCCAGAGTCCCCAGGACAGCTGTCTATGCAAGGAAGTCATGAGCAAAAAGATAAAGGCATTTAAAGGTCTATTCCCCAGGTCACATAAAGTAACAAAATAAGAGACTAACACCCAAGAGTGGCCGAGATTAGTACCAGGAATTTTGCTCCATGGCTTGGAGGCCAGCCACACATGCTAGGGGAAAAGGGAGCTCAGATAGAGAAGGGAGCACCAAATAAATGGTGTTGGGAGGATCCTCCCAGGATGGGAGAAGCATGCTGAAAGTAGACTATAGACCAAACACGATTGCCACTCAAGGCCTCTTTGGCAAACCACAACACCCAATAGGAGAGAGAGAACAAAAGGGAATACCCTGCCACAGAGGCAGGTGGGATGGGGGGATGGGGGGTGGGAGGGATACTGGGACCCGTGGTGGTGGAAAATGGGCACTGGTGGAGGGATGGGTGTTTGATCATTGTACAATTGAAACCCAAGCACAAAAAATTGTAAATCTACAACTGTACCTCATGGTGTTTCACTAACAAAAATTTTAAAAAAAGTAAATGATGGAGAATGGACACTGGTGGAGGGATGGGTGTTTGATCATTGTACAATTGAAACCCAAGCACAAAAAATTGTAAATCTACAACTGTACCTCATGGTGTTTCACTAACAAAAATTTTAAAAAAAGTAAATGATGGAGAATGGACACTGGTGGAGGGATGGGTGTTTGATCATTGTACAATTGAAACCCAAGCACAAAAAATTGTAAATCTACAACTGTACCTCATGGTGTTTCACTAACAAAAATTTTAAAAAAAGTAAATGATGGAGAATGGACACTGGTGGAGGGATAGGTACTGGATCATTGTAAAACTGAAACCCAAGCACAAAAAATTTAAGTCTACAACTGTACCTCATGGTGTTTCACTAATAAAAATAAAAAAAAAAAATCACAATGAAAGACAAAAAAAAATGAAATTTTTAGGCATTAAAAAAAAACAAAGCTCTATTCCCCAGGTCATATTCCACAGACTCGACCACCCATGCCATCCCCCCCCCCCACAACCATCTTCTACAACAGAGAACCCGGGGAGGTGCGATGGGCTTTCCCGTTCAGACAGAGCATGTCCGAAGCCGCTCCTCCAGGCCAAGGGAGGCAGGATCTGAAAGCCACCATCCTCTGTGACATCCTGCGACTTCCTGCCCAGGCGGCAGGGGCCGGGACCCGGGGCCGGGTATGTTTGGGGTTCCCAAGGGAAACACTGGTTCTCCCTGATGCCCGCATCCTGCTTCCAAAGTAACACTCATTCCAGAAAGCACATGCTTGTATGCTGAAGTTGATGAGTTTTAAATATTTCTCTTCTTTGGCAGTTTCCGACAATGTGTCAAGATGCATTGTCTGCCAACTTTAGAATTATTCTGCACTGTCAGTTTTGCATTAACTGGTAATGATTATCAAAATGATGTTGAGTACATTGATCTTTACTAAAATGATGCTACCACTGTCCAAATTTGATCTGCCACTGTCACTGTCTTCCCGTTGTTCACTGATTTGCTCAAGCGGACCCAGAAACGTCTTCATTTTGAGACTTGTTGTTACAGTGTTTGGCATATTTAATACATCACGGTAGCTTGCCAGGCTTTGCCGTACGGGCGAGATACTCTCGGTAGCTTGCCGGGTTCTCCAAGAGGGGTGGAGGAATCGAACCCGGCTCAGCCAGGCTGGCTGCACGCAAGGCAAATGCCTTACCGCTGTGCTATCGTTCCCACTATTTGAAGTATTGAATATACACACATTGTAGCCTAATTTTAAAAAATAAAAAAAAAAAGCTCACAATCCAGTGTTTCCTTAATTGGGACTTGACTATGTAGATGCAGAGGTTTTCAGAGGCAAAGTAGGAAAATGCCTTAAAAAAAGATGTGGATGACACTCGTCTTCGAAATATTTATAACCACGTAGTTGTTCAGAGGATGGCTGAGCATAGCTGTAACTGCACCGGTCCATAAGAAGTAGTCCTGACCCAATGCCAGACACAGGAGGGACCCTTCCAATACCCCCAGGTGCCAGGAACCTAATATAGCCCCCCACCCCGGAGGGACTTGAGAGCACCTGTGAGGAATCTCCCTGTGGAAGCCTGGGTAGACCACTCCGTCGGGAGCCAGTGGGGTGGGCTGCAACCAGGCCCCTCCCCGCTGCCCCCAGCTTACACCTGGCACTGCATGATGGATTTGATCTGTGTCTGTTTGAGAGCTGTTTGCCAGAGGGCAGAGAGAGCGTTCCTGCATCCCATCTTCTCTCCCACCCAGTTCCCCTATTGTCCACACCTGGCACCAGTGGGGGGCATTTGTCACAAATGATAACCCAGCCCCAAGACGTACTGAAGCCACCAGGCTACCCAGAGCCCCACTATGTGCTGTGTATCCTGTGGGCTCTGACAAACACACAGTGGCCCCAATCCACCACCCACAGAGAATATTCCACTGCCCTCAGGTGGCTCACCCCACCCCTCCTTCATTCTCGGAAACCTTGAGAAAGGCACCAGGGAGGGGCTTCAAGGCCGTAGCACCTCATGGCCCCTCGAGCCCACCCGCGTATGGCCCCCAAACAGGAAACAGCAGCAACGGCTCTTAATAGGAAAACAAGCCAAGTTTTATGGCTGAGTGCTCTGGATGAACCCTTTTGTAGGGAAACATAAACTCACCGGTTCAACGAATTCAAACTTCTTTTTCTCCTGAACCTCCTGAATCTTAAAGACATACTCCAGTGATGCTTCATAGAAGTTCTGGTGCTCCCTGTCGAGCTGCGTGTCTGCCTGAGGAAGAGAAGAGTCCCCCCTGTGAGGGCTGCAGGATGCAGGGACCCTGGAACCCCCAAACATCGGCGGCCGCTAAGCCCAGCGCCAAGTGAGCACGATAACAGTTAGATGCTGGGAAGGCAAAGACATCAGGAAGAGTACCCGGAAGACCCCACTGGGGAAGGAAGGAGAGAAGGGGGGGGGGGGAGGGATGAAGACCAGATACCCACCCTGCCCCCTGCTCCCACGTGAGGTGGGGTGGTAGTACCTCTTGCAAGTGAGATTCCTTCTTCTTGGCAGACAAATTCAGGTGCTTGTCAAGAATAGAATAGTACTTTTCACTCTCCTTGTCGAATTTCTTCTTTCCATCCTAGAAATAAAATCAACAACAAACTCCCAGAATCAAACACCTGCATGGAGAGAACCCCGAGTTTCACCCGGACTGCCAGGTGAGCCCAGCAGGGCGCGAGGGGAGGGACTTGGCTTCCTGCTGAGAAGCTTCTGGAGCCACAGTCTGCAGGGGGCGGCCTGTCAGCACGCCCTGTGAGCACTGTGTAGAGGATTCTCAGGGTGAGCTCACCAGCTGTGTGCAATGTGCAACAGCCTCGGCCTTGGAGAAACCGGGGTTTCGTGTGTTGATTTGAAGGGCTGGGGACAGGGGTGGCCACGGGTGCTCAGGACACCTGAGCCAGGAGTGCAGGCACAGGTCTGAGGGTGTGGCGCTGCCCGGGGGACGGGGGTCGGACACACACCTGGCCCTGCTCTCCCCACTGGTCATCTGGGCTTTCTGGGAAGGAAGCGCTCACGGCCACCAACAGGAATCACAAGACAGCAGAATCCAGAGCCCCAGGTGGCACCTCACTCACCCCGCTCACCCCTACCCCCACCAACATGTTCACACACACATACTCTCTCTCTCTCTCTCTCTCTCTCTCTCTCTCTCTCTCCCCTCTCTCTCACATATATACTCATACACATACACACATATAGACACACACAAACACACATATAGACACACAATACACACAGGGGGAGTTCTTATGCACAGTGAGGGAAGGAGGGGTTGGGGGAGGAAAAGGGGGGCAGAGAGGCAGCCTCCGTGGGGGGGGCTATGCGGGTCCCCAGTGCAACGCAGATCCATGGACAGAAACTCAGAAGCAGCGAGACCAGAGTCGGGGGTTCGCCTGGCTTTCAGATTCCGGCACTGAGGTGGGTACAGGTTTCAGCAGGAGGCCCAGGGCCAAGCCCCCAAAACCAGCACCTCCCATGTGGCCCAAAATAACCCCCAAGGCGGGAAAAGAGTTTGAGTCACCTTGAGAGATTTGACAAAGCCTGGACAAGCTGTCACTAAAGTAGGATGCTTGCACGGGGGAAAAACTCCTGTTAGCGAAGGGGAAAATGAATCCTTGAGAGAGAAGCACTGCTGGAAAGCGGGGGCACAGATGCCACCGTTTACAAACGGGCAAGCCCAATTCCACTCTCAAAATTTCAGAACTGGCTGGCCACAGAGCCACCAACTTCCAATGGTTACCACCAGAGGGCGCCAGAGATGAGGCCCAAGAGAAAAATTCTCCAATGTTTTCGGATCCTTTTTTTTCCCCTATAAAAGACCCAAATTAAACATTAAACTTCCATTAAACAATTGCCCGAGCAACCATTAATGCTACCAGGCAATACATTTTAAAAATAAGCAAGATTCCAAAATGTTTTTGGAATCTCTCTCTCTCTCTCTCTCTCTCTCTCTCTCTCTCTCTCTCTCTCTCTCTCTCTCTCTCTCTCTTTCTCTCTCTCCACAGACAGATTTTGAAGAGCCACTGGAAATGGCTAGATTTCCCATGCAGTTATATTACGTGTTGTTACAACCGTTTGCTACAGAAATACTGCACGTAACTCTTGAAAAACCCCTTCTTCCAGCCAATGCATTATTCGCAGAAAGGAGAGAATGAAGAGCAGCGGTGAAGGCTAATCAGAAATGCTCAGGACCCTAGAACCGGGGGCAGTGGGCCAGCAAGGGTCAGACCAGGCTCTGTCCCCCTGCGGGTGGGTCTCTGCACTGCTAAGTGCTGCTACCCAGACCAGACCCTCCACAGACGGGTACTCACCAGCAGGAGGTAGCATGCTTATTCTTCAAAGCCTACTCTGTGGTAGCAGGTATTTCACAGCCGCTTTATCAATATAGCCAGCGTCCCCCTTTCTCCAGATATCAACATGCCAAAAAATACATCTGCAGGTGCTGGGAATTTCATAGACTTAAACACATCTCCAATGACACGGCTTCTCAAATTAACTTTTCCTATTTTTCTCTCTTATCTCTTAAGAGGTCACAACAGTACACAGGGTTTATTCCTAGCTCTGCACGCAGGAATCACTCCTGGGGGGGTTCAGGGAACTATTATGGGGGCCCGGAGATCGAACCTAGGTTAGTCACGTGCAAGGCAAATGCCCTATGTGCTGTACTATTGCTCCAGTCCCCTAAACCTCCCCTTTACATTGCAAGACGAGTGCAACGGAGGCCTTGGAACTCACAAATCCAACAGGGTAAACACAGTTCCTCGACTATTTGCACTAAGAAGTTTCCTCGCCACCTCCTTCCAGTTCATGGATTTTTGGGTCAATTACTGTGGTCGAAGGCATTAAAAGAAAAGCATTATCCTATTTCATACACTACTGACAACATTTTAAAGTCCAGCATTCTTGTTGTGCAAAGGCTGCAACTGAGTGTAACTTCTCTCCCTGGGCAGGCAGGGTGCACGCAGAAGGGCGGGGAGCAGCTCTGGGTCAGCGTGTGGCCTTGACCATGTGGTTCTTAGGGTTGTGCTGGAGGTGCCAGATGGAAGTCAGGCAGAGCATCTCCTGGGCTCCATGTGTCTGCTCTCTGACAACTCACAAACACTCCTGTCTCCGTCGTCGAGTCCGTCACAAGCTCAGACTAGGCCTGTTCTTGGAATTAGTGCTGAGAACAGTCGGGTCTGAATCCTCCAGCTTCACTGGGCCTTGTCCATCCCATAAAAGATAGTGAGTCAGCCCCTCATTCGCTGCACCCAGGGGCCACGTGAATGACCCAGGCCCCTCGTTTCCCAGGAACGCCCCCCTGGCCCCCGCCAGAGTCCACACCCCATGCAGCCGGCTCCCGTTGGCTCAGCTCTTCCTGGAAGGGTCCCCAACACCACTGCATGTAGCTTAACAAGCAAAATTCCTTGTTAAGCAGCTGCAGGTTCCAGAGAGCCTGGCCAGCACCAAGGGCCCAGGACTGTCGAGAACATGAAATTGTGGGGCCAGAGACAGTACAGTAGATAGGGTGTTTGCCTTGCACACAACCGACACGCGTTCAATCCCCAGCATCCCATATGGTCCCCCAAGCACCACCAGGAGTAATTCCTGAGTGCATGAGCCAGGAGTAATCCCAGAGCATGAAGTTGAGGAAGCGTTCAGATGGCTCGCTTTGCAAACTCCTTTTACCAAACTGGACTTCAGAACTTGAAGAAGTTAATATGCGGTTTCTTCTTGTTTCTGGAGGAGGGTAGAACCTCTGCCACCGCAGTGAGGCACCAGCCAATGAAATGCCCAGTGTGTGGGCAGCAGGTGTACCCCCCAACCAGGCTCAGGGTCAGACTCTGTGTCGGGAAACCAGCTCCCTCTGCTCCTGTCAAGGGACATGGAAGCCAGTGGGAGGTTTCTGTGGAACTGCGCAGTGGCTGGGTCACACCATAGGAGGAACAGTTCTCTGCTCTGTGGTGGGCCACAGGGAGGTCAGCATCCACACAGCTCCACTTCCGGCCTTTCTGAGAGCAGCCAGATTGGGTCCGGCACCCAGAGTCCAGCCCACACTTGAGGGTATGGCGGGTAGAAGGGGCTGCTGGCGCCCGACACTGCCCACTTCTCATGGGCACGGGGAGGATGGGTGCTTCTGTGGGGTTTGTTGCTTTCACCTTCTTTCCGGGTGGCACCGTAGAAGGCTAAGCTTACTTGTACCCGCGTCTCTAGCCTGCAGAGTCCCCAGGGAGGGGAGCAGAGTTTCGGGGCACAGGAGAGCAGGGTAGGGCCAAGGGACTTGCCAGCCAAGTACTCTCCATGCCCAGCCCCTCAGGAGTCTGGTCCTCACTGTGGAGAAACCCTGCAGCCACGGGCCACCTCTTCGCACGAGCTAGGCTCCATCTCCAGCACCCGTGAGGGCTCCCCAAGCCCTACCACGAGTCAGCCCTGAGTACCACCAGGGTATGACCCCAAAACAAACAATAAATCCAAGAAATTAAGAGCCAGGTTCCAAGCCCTGTCTCCTAGGAGAAGCCCCACTGTGCGTCTCCTTTCTTTTCTGCCCAAGGAGAGCTGCAGGTACTGGCCTGGGTAGGCAGGCGCGGAGGCCGGCAGTGAGACCAAGTCCAGCCCCAGCGCACAACTCACCTGCTCCTGAGGGGAGTGACCACTAGCCCCAGACCAAACCCCAAGTAAATCAGTGACGCACTAGGCCAGAAACACTCCATGGCCAAATGCTGAATGTCCACGCATTTGTTGGCACTTGCAAATACAGCTCTGTGTGCTGAACTTGGTTTAGTCTAGGGCGAATCAAGGAAAGTGAAGTTTCCCTGAGCACTCCAGCTCGAATTAAGATGCGTGTGTGTGTGTGTGTGTGTGTGTGTGTGTACATACACATCTACATAAGAAGTTGGCCTAAAGAGACGATCCCTCTCACCATGAGCTCACCAGCATGACCAGCTGTGACCAGTTAACTCCTTTTACCAAATAAGGCAAGTTTTTTTCCGGGCTTGAAATCCTTGTGCAGTGAGCTCATGCTCGTGGCTTCTCCAGGAACTGCGGAGGTCATCTCTCCGGCTCGGAGCCAGGAAATCAGCAGGCCCTCGCTAGAGCGTGGGCTACCCGGGCCCCGAGAGCGTTCGAGTTTGCCTGCCCAGTAATGCTGACTGAGGCAGGAAAGAAAGACGGGAAGGACTCTGAGGATGGAGTGGAGAGGAGGGCCTGGGACAAGCCGGCTACCCAGCCAGAGCCCAACTCTGCCATGGGTGAAAGCTGCAAGCGCCGAGGCCCTGGGGGGTCTGCTTCAGGCTGACTCCCCACAGCCCGGGCACGGATTTCTGTGGCTTGGGCCAACACATGAGCCTTCTTAATTGCACAAATCTTCAAAAGTCAAATGTTTCTTCTTCCTGGTCAATGAGTTGTTTCTGTTTCGTTTAAGAGTGTAGGAAAAGAAAGATGTGGATGAAAGAAAAATTAAATCTAACAAGGAGATTTACCCCGGTCTTAAAATAACCTTCTGGGGGCAGGAGCAATAGTACAGCGGGGAGGGCGTTTGCCTTGCATGAGGCAGACTGGGGTTCCATCCCCAACATCCCATATGGTCCCTCGAGCACCACC